GTTGTGGAATTGGCTGGGTCATATAGTAAATCTATGCTTAACTTTTTCAGGGACTGCCAAACTGTTTTCCACAGTCACTGCACCATTTTTATATACCACCAGCAGTATATGTAAGGGTCTGGTTTCTTCACTTCCTTATTAATACTCATTACAGAAACTTCTCTGGTGGTCTGGTGGTTAAGACTTTGCATTTCTACACAGGGGGCATGGGTTCCATCCCTGGTCAGGGAACTAAGATCTCACATGTCATGTGGCACACAAAAAAAGAAGAAAAGAAAAATAGAACACTTGTTACTGTCTTTCTTATATCCATCCTGTGGGTATGAAGTGTGATCCTTTATTGTAGTTCTGATTGGAGTTTCCCTAATGACTAGTGACGTTGGCATTGTGGACTTAATGACCTTTGGTTTATCTTCTTTGGAGAAATATATACTCATATCCTGAGCCTACTTTAGGATTGGCTTATTTGTCTTTTTACTGCTGAGTTATAAGAGTTCTTTTTATGTTCTGGATGCTAGACTACTTATCAGAGAGGTGATTTACAAATATTGTCTCTTTTTGTGGGTTGTAGAGAAAGAACACATGATAGTGTTCTTTGGAGCACAAAAGTTTTACATTTTGATGCCATCTATTTATTTTTGTTTGGTTGCTTGTACTTTTAAGAGTCATATCTAAGAAGCTATTGCCTAATTCATGGTCATGAAGATTTACACTTAAATTTTTTTGAAAAGTTTCATAGTTTTAGCTCTTACATTTTGATCTTTGACCCATTTTGTGTTAGTTTTTTGACTCAAGTTTTTTGAAAGGACTTTCCTCCACTGAATTGTTGTGACACTTGTTGAAAATCAGTTGAACAACATGTATGGGTTTGTTTCTGGACTGTCTTTTCTCTTCCATTGATTTATATAGCTGTTCTTACGCTGTTACCACACACATTTGACTTGTTTGTTTGTTTGTGCTCCACGGCTTGTGGGATCTTAGTTCCTGACCAGGGATTGAACAAGGGCCCTCAGCAGTGAGGGCGCAGAGGCCTAACCACTGGACTGTCAGGGAAGCCCCAACTATGCAGTTTTGATCACTCTAGTCTCGTAGCAAGTTTTGAAACTGGAAAGTGTTAGTCCTCCACGTTTATTCTTTTTCAAGATAGTTTTGTCTACTTGAGGTCCCTTATATTTCTGTTTGAATTTGGGGATCAACTAGTCAATTTTTATGAAAAAGGCAGCTGGGATTTTTATAGAGATTGCTCAAATCTGTAGATCAGTTTGGGAATATTGCCATCTTACAGCGTCTTAACAGTAAACTAGTATGTCTTTTAAGTTTCATTTAACCTGTGGGTTCTTCCTTTTTCTTTATTTTTGTTTCCTTTATATTTTACTTGTAAAGAAACTGGGTCTCTATCTTGTAGAGTTTTTCACCCTCTAGTTTTGCTAATTGCATCCCCATGGTATTCCTTTATACCCTGTGTTTTGTGTAAAATGGTAATTAGATCTAGAGCTTGATCAATTCAAGTTGATTTTTTGGTAAGATTACTTCATAAGTTGTTTCGCATTTCCTATCATCATCATTATCTTAATTAACATATGCTTCTGTTTGTTGCTTAGTTACCTTGGGAGTCATAGCATACTTACGCATAGAGAGCTTCTTTATTCCTATTTAAGGCTGTGAAATCCATTGTATGGTTGTACCATAGTGTATTTATTTAGTTTTTTTATTGATGAACCTTTAAATTGTTTTTGTTCATTTTCTAGTGTGATGTTTCATTAAATAACCCTGTGCATGATCATTTTTCACATTTACAATATGTCATGTTAAATACTTAGAAGTAGACTCATTGAGTCAGATATACATTTGTAGTTTAGATAAATATTGCTGAATTGCTCTGCTGAGAAGTTATTCCAAATTATACCTCATCAGTGATGTAAGAGTTCCATTTTAACTGGGATCTTTTTAATATATAAGAAACTTGCTAAATTATGGCTGCTTAAATAGGGTAAGTATATACACTGTGTGTATAGTGTCATAGAAATCTAAAATATTTTACAACTAGTTACCAGGGAGCCCTGTATCTGGTGCTTATACACTGATAGGAACTATCTCCATCAGTCAGTGGAAGGGAAAACATGTGGGCTTCCTTAAACTCTAAAGGCAGACAGATTGTATTTAAGAGCCATCTTTTCTTTGTTATTCTAAATCCCTTTTCCTACCCTTTCATTCTTATTTTAGAAACTGGACAAGAAATATCCTCTTGCTAGGAGCTAAGGCCTGGTGAGAAGGCTGTCCCCTGAAACTTTGTAGAGTCTTGACCTTGGTCAATAGAAAGCTTTGTCCCTTGAGTCCCCCAGAAGAAAGCTGGGGAGACTATTATGGAGATTAGGCTTCCCCACTGGAGGCGCTGGCTTAAGCTCTGAGCAGATCCAGTGAATGTACAAGTTGGTCCCATCTACTCTCATGTCACGCATCTGTCTGAATCCCAAGAATGTTCTCCATTAGTAATTTTCAGTGTCAGTTTAGTATGATAATGTGGTCCTGCAAATGCAGAAGTTGGCAGGAAACTTCACCAAATGGGTGAGATCAAAGGGCACCATCTTGTTCTCTGTGGGCATTTAACTGCTTTTGGAATGAAATTTGTTAGAGCTGCCATCTCTATTCTTTCTTGAAACTTCCTAGATAATTGGGAGATTTGGTCCTTTCACTTAAACTTTGCTAATGCCATCATGGTCCCAATTATTTGGTTACATTTCTGAGGCTGGCTTCCATCTTTCTTTTAGGTCAGCTTTAGTCCTCCACAGGTGCTCTGAACTTGACCCTTCTTTTCTAAGATAGACCGGAAAATTCAATTCACCCTTGAAATACTTAATAAAATGACACATCTCACTGAATAGCTTCACACAAATTACTTTTCTAAGTAACTGATTCATGCCCTTACCATATCAGGGTTTGTTTTTTTTTTTTTTCCATTTATTTGTATTAGTTGGAGGCTAATTACTTTTAGTGGTTTTTGCCATACATTGACATGAATCAGCCATGGATTTACATGTGTTCCCCATCCCGATCCCCCCTCCCGCCTCCCTCCCCTTCCCATCCCTCTGGGTCTTCCCAGTGCACCAGCCCTGAGCACTTCTCTCAAGCATCCAACCTGGGCTGCCGATCTGTTTCACCCTTGATAGTATACTTGTTTCAATGCTATTCTCTCAGAACATCCCACCCTCGCCTTCTCCCACAGAGTCCAAAAGTCTGTTCTGTACATCTGTGTCTCTTTTTCTGTTTTGCATATAGGGTTATCGTTACCATCTTTTTAACATATCAGGGGTTTTTTTTTAAACAAAAGTTTCTCACAGAATGCTGAAAGTATCATTGTATGTGTGAGCATAGTAATACAATGAATGTTCAGGTAATGAATGAGATACAGTTTGATATTATGTCCTAAATTTTCACATTCTCCTCACTCCCACTCCCACCTCCAAAATCTAGCCATTTGCAATGAAACTCTCTAATGCATTTTCCTGCATTCTCACACATGATGAGTGTTGTCCTGCTCTGTGCCCAGGGGATGGGATAGGGAAAAGAGACATTAAAACTATCAGTCTTCTGTAGCCTTCCTGGCTATAATACAGGGGTTATGGAGCTAGAGGGACTGTCCTTCCTAATTAAGTACCCTAGGATACTCTTTGAATTTTTGCATTTGGCTTTCTTAAAAATTGTGTGAATTAGGTAGTCATATGCACATAATAACAAATAGAAAAAGGACAAAAGACTGTGGAATGAAGTTATTTTATCTTTGAGATCATTGAATACCAGAACACACAGAGATGCTCTACTCTTCGTAATGGCTGGATACTAGTCCCTTACATTGGTCCTCTATTAATCCACCTTTTGGTTTCTGTTATCAGCAGTGTTGCGTGAATATCATTTAAGTGTGAAGAACATGGCCACATTGTCCTACATTCCCTCAGCAACATATATAGGTGCCTATTTCTCCTTACATATTGTTTATGCTTTAAAGTCATTTGTTTCTTTTTTGGTGAACTGTTTGTGTCTCTTCTGTCTGCTTTTCTATTTAGTTGTTGATTTGTTGTTGGTTTTGGAAGAACTTCTTATATCATAAAGAAGTTAGCTTTTGTGATACTAATTGTAAATATTTGTCTGTTTTCTTGTAACCTAGTTACCACCTCTTCTGCAGTCATTGTCAACTCTCATGTCACTTTTCTGCATCTCCATGTTTTCACATTGCTTACCTTTGGCAGCTTCCTTTTTCCTTGTTGGTAATTCCTGTATGAGCAGATGAACTCTGTGTACTGACTGGTTGAGATCTCCGTCTGCTTCTCAGTGGTATTTTTTTACTTACTCCTCATTTCATCTATTTGGAACCGTGTATCCTTTTTGCATTTATATGAGGTGTTAGGGGCTTGCTAAGGCAAAACCCTAGAAGGGAATATGCTTGTCAGCCTGAGACAATGAGTTGAACTTCAGCCGTACTGTGCAGTGGGCTCTGGGAACATTTTAGAACATTATCTTTTGATTCAGACTTAGTGTAATGTTTTCTACTGTAAGTGGCCTTTAACTTTAGGCGGGTCTTTGGACCTCCCTCATCAGCAAAGTGGGGGATCCCTACATACCAGGTTGTTTTAGTGATTAAATGAGACTGAAACAGGGAAGAAGAAGGGGTGGAGGAGAGTCCTTAACTTTTCCTCTAACCTTCAAGTCCTGTGTTTTCTAGGTTGAGGCTTTCTGTCATAGAGGTGAGGCCATGACGGTTTCCTTGGGCGAGAAGAGCCCCAGCTACTTGGTGACATCCTACATGGTCTTAAAATGTTCTCTGCTATGGCTTTAGTTTTCTCAATTGCAAACGAGGCGCACAACTTTGAGATGAGTGTGACTATAGTGTTGACTGCATAGTGTTGTTTTGAGGCTTCCAAACGTGAAGCCCTCAACACATGGAAAGCAGGCCATCAACTTTGGAAAAGGGTGCTGAAGTAACAGTCCCACCTGCTTTTTTGCAGAAGCCCCGTCCTGCGTGTCTCTGGGAAGCACCTCCCTGAGCAGTCCCTCCATCCACTGCCCGTCCGCGGCTGTCTGTATTGGCATCCTTCCGGGCCTGGGCGCCTACTCCGGGAGCAGCGACTCTGAATCCAGCTCAGACAGCGAAGGCACTATCAACGCCACGGGCAAGATTGTCTCCTCCATCTTCCGAACCAACACCTTCCTCGAGGCCCCCTAGCTCCTCTGTTCTCATCGCAGGGTGCTCCTCCCCAAGAGTAGACTGGACAGTTTATTCTGCCTACAGGCATTACTTCCCACAGAAAACTCCTTTGCCTGCTCCTCATGCACACCGTGACATTTTTAACTGCATCTAAAAATGTGCCAGAATCCACTTGTGGCTAGACTTGTGTTTGGTTTCTCTTTCTACTCCAATATAGATGCCCAAACCTGTCCTGCAACCTCTGTCCTCACTGATACAGATTTCGGCCCAGCCAAAATTTCACCAAAAACACCCTGGGAAGATAGGTACCAAGCAGCTTGCAAAGAGTTTGGATTCTGTTGCCTTCTTGTTTTTTCTTTTTCCTTTTCCAACATCATTAAGAAACAGGGACAGTTTATTGAACAGATATCATTTAAACATTCTATTCTAAGTGATTATAATGCATTGTGGAGAGTGTGGCAGGTGGGGGTGGGGAGAGGAGAGCCCTACTAATGGAACAGCGTGCAAGGCCCTGGAACTAGCTGATTCTTGATGTTGTGTGACTAAGTAAAGATTCTAAACTATGTCCATAGGGGGTGTCACTTAACACTTATTGTTCATTGGTAAGTTTTTTCTTACCCTTGGCTATTCCTTCTCCCTCCATCTAATCCCGCTTAAGATTCTAAATCTTAGAGAAACAAACATAGGCCTTATTTTGTTGTAGCCAGCAATCAGAAGTACTGATAGTGTGTGGACAAGATGACTTATTTCTGGCAGCTCCTGATTCTAGTATTGCAAGTCAGCGGGACACCGCCCTCTCTGTTGGGTACATTTATAGTTGTGGCTTCTAACTGTGGAAACTGTTTCTCACCTAAAGGTGCTGCCCTCCTCTTTTCCTCTGCTTTGCCCTTCCTGTGCTGCTCTTCCCATTCAGAGCAGCCAAGCCCCGGAGGTGCTGCTCTACCCCTCTCCTAAAGCGGGGCAGAGGCTTTCCCTTTGGGAGGGAAGGAAGGACAAGGGGAGACAAGGTATGGAGGCACTGAGGACAGAGGTGACCATCAGCTTTTAACAACAGCAATCTGGAGGCTCCCCTGCTTCAGAGGAGTGAGCCCATGGAGTTCTTTCTCCCCTTGGGTTGGTACGTCAATTGTTTCCACTTCCTTGGGTGTGAGACAGAGAGAGACACGCAGAATGTGTTGACACTGTGCTGCTGGCAGGCAGAGAAGCTACTCTGTTTTTTTGTGGGCAGAGAGGCCCCTGGATCTCTTCCAGCCCACTCCTTTTCCCTCCCAAAGCACTGACACACTGGTGCCCGCTGGCAGATGGTGACTTCCCTTCACCCATAACCGATGACTTGTGAATTCTTTTTCCTTTTCAGAGCTGCTCTGTGCTAATTGTTCCTGACTGTCAGTACAGGCGCATCAGCTCCATCCTAACAAGCAAGACTGAGGTAAAACTGTAGGCACCTTCTGCCTTTGCTTCATTGTTCCTGCGATTGTGCTGTTGTTATAACAGCCGTACCCAGGGCAACCTCAGATCATCTCAGGAGGCAGACAGAGGAGCCAAAGTCACGATCTTCATGTGGTTTGACTTTTCAGAGGCCATTACTATGCCTCATGGCCTCTGTTGATGTTGGGAGAAGTTGAAAAAGGGTTACATGGGTTAAAAATCTATATTACTTTGAAAGCTAATCCACCTGTCAGAGAACAAGACCTTGCTTTTTCTGTACTGGAGCTTGTGCTTCCAACTCCCTTCCTATCCATTGTAACAGCTAGATTATGTCGAGGAGGTTGAGACTCTTCAGGCTGAGATTTCTGCTCTTTATGTCACAAGAGCAGTTGAAGATCACTGGTGATCATTTCATCTTTCACCATACCTGTTAGTGGAGAGCCCTGGAGCTGAGACACGGGTTCTGTAGAAACCACCAGTAGCAAAGCAGGGTCTGGTCTGCCCAGTGGAGGAAGCTGCCCTGGAAAAACATCTAGTGTAGACTGTGTGTTTCAAACCCAAAGATGGAAGGAAACACTGCCTAAATCAAAATGCAGCTCCTGCCTTAGTAGATAATTAGGATTTTATAACCAGATAATGAGGAATAAAACTGGGGTTTGGGGTAGCTTCTTAAAACCTGTTGCATTGTCCTGAGTGGTAGTCTTACAACTTTGAACCCTGTGAGGGAGAAAGCTTGTCTATGAGGAATGCTGTTGCCAGCTCTGTGCCCAGGAGGAGAGAAGGCTGACTTCTCAAACCCAGAGTTGGTAGGGCATTCTAGACTTTTTCAGGAGCATTCTAGACTGAAAGTCAAATCCCTAATGAGGAGTGGCTTAGGCTAGTCCCTTGCATTCTCATTTCTTTCACTCTTCACCTTGTGGGTTATTCCCTTCTGGCTACCTCCCAGGAATCCCAACCTGGTTTTGCCTTCTGTGGATATATCACAGTGGCTATGTGCTTGGAGCCAGACATTTTACTAGCTGAGTCACTTGGGCAAAGTCCTTAACCTCTCCAAGCCTCAGTTTCCTCCTTGGTAGATAGGAATAAGGATACTAGCTTCACAAGTGAGGGTGAAAGATGATCTGGATTAGATACTTGGTGTGGTACCTGGTGCTCAGTAAATGGTAGCCATCCTAATCTTAGTACTGTTATCCTCGGCCTCCCCCGTCTGGGTAGAGTGTCCAGAGTTTCTGTGAGTGGTGTTTTATGGCAGGTTTATCCATCCTGCTGGCATTCTTCAGTTGTAGTATGAACACTGACGTGATGATGGGTCAGATCTGGCCATCAGAGCTCCAACCGCCTGCTTCTCCTTGGTGCTTTCCTCTCAGTTAAATGTTAATTGCTCAGGCACACCCAGTTCCTTGGCTCGGGTGTCCTAGCCGTGGGTATATGGCTCAGCTGTCGTCTTTAAGCCCCTCCAGGAAAACAAAAAGAAAAGGCTTGGTGGCAGTGCACCATCACTTGGACTTGGATGTTTCTTGATTTCTTGGCGTGCCCAGCCCACTTAGGCGTAACAGTATGGAATGCAAGTTCTACTTGGTGGGAGGCTAGATCTTGGCAACACTTCCATAGTATTGAACACAAGAGGCCAGTTGCACATTCTTGCCTTAGTGATGCTGGCAGGGGCTGGTATTTTGCTCCCTTACCTGCTGGAGCAAGGGTTTAGGGAGAAGAGTATCACAGCACGAACAGGCAGAATGGGTCCCAGCATCAGAGCTCTGCGGAGCAATGGACAGACAGCATGACCAAGAGACAACGTTCGCTCTGAGCTTTAGATCATCGGCTGGACGTCTTCTTCAGTTTTACACATGGTCATGCACATCCGTATCCCTTACATTGATTTGTTCATCGGTCAGCATTTACTGAGGGCCTGTTGTGGATGGGCCAGGGATGTTTGGGATGTTTGCAGACAATAGTGTCTTCCTCCTGAAAAAAGTCCCTTGAAGCAGCCCTTCTCTACATTTTATAGAGGAAGCTAAAGCTCACAGTGATTCAGTGACTTGCCCAAGGTCACACAGGTAGATGTCAGAACCAGAATCTTAATTTGAGCCTGTAAGTCTGGGTTTCTGTGGTTTCAATGAAACTTTAAAACAAATTCTAGTGCCCAGGCCTCAGTGGTGATGACTCAAGTGAAGGAGTCTTTTAGTCAGATTTCTGAGTTCACTTTTCATCCTGCTATCCATGTGCAAGAAGCAAATAGCACCAAGGCATGGTGTGTTCTTAGTGAAATGCAGTTGACATATTACATTAGTTTCAGGTGTACAACATAATTACTCAATATTGTGTATATTGTGAAGTGACCTATCACCACAGTTACCAAACCATCTTTTTCCTGTGATGACAGCTTTTGAGGTCTACTCTCTTAGCAAGTTTCAAATATACAAGCTGGTATTATTAACTATAGTCAACATGGTGTATGTTACATCCCCAGGACTGACTTATCTTGGTTTGTTTTTTAAGTGGTGATTTACCTGATCAGGAGTTCAGTACATTCCTTTCCCCGGTGAACTCAAACCAACTGGGAGTAGAGGGCTTGCTTGACTGATCCATCCAAAATCGGGCAGAGAAGGGAGAAGAAAGGCATGACTAGATCTGCTCCCTCATGCAGCCGCGAAGTGGGGGCTGCTGACAGCACACTGAGGTAGGTGGTCCACAGTAGTTTCTGAGCATTTATGATGGGCCTGATGCAAGGCAGGGACTTGCCTTAACCTGCCCAGCAGATGTCAGTCTCCATAGCTTCACCAGTCTGGTAAATTATTCACAAGGGGAGGTATAAGGGAGAGGTCTGCATCAGAAGGTGTCTTCCCAATATACCCATCCCCTGGGGCCTAAGGAGAGGATGTGGGGCTGGGAGGAGAAGGCTGTTCCACTAGAGAAGCCTCTGGTCAATCTGAACTTGACAGATTCTCCCAGGCTGAACTGGGTACAAACTTCCCTGGATGTGACATCCAGCTAGACTCACTTCAGCTACCAAACAGGGGGGTAAAGTCAGCAGTTGTGGGGTGTTATTTCAACCACCATGCAGTCTTGCGGCCGGCCTGAGCAAGGGCTGGGTATGAACCAGAGTTGCCACTCCTGGGATTCTATCCATAGGGTCAGGATGACCCTTGGCTGGTGGGCTGTGACTTCCCAAAGGTCACTGAGGCTCCCTGCAGTCCTGCAGCCCTCTCAGGAGAAGTGAAGATGTCCCTCGAAAATGTTTCAACCGACTTGGTGGCCATGGAATCAGCAGAGGCATCAGAAGTCTAAGATATACATGTCCCTCGCTCACTCCCACCAGATGGACACCGGCTCCTGAACTTACCAAGAACCTGGAGGTAGGAACATGCCTGGTGCACCATCCTGGTCTAGCAGGCCATTAGTAAGAATTGCTGACCTGGGAGAGTAAGTTAACTGACTGCCCAGTTCATTGGAGAGGAAGGGCAAATTTCATTAGCAGCTTGAGTAGAAGACTGCCTCATAGAGTCTCAGGAAGACAGCCAATGCAGTTGAACAAGTGCAGACTCTGGAGTTGGCCAGACCTGGAGCTAAGTTCTGGCTCTGCCTCTAATAGATTCGATTAGCCTCTGCTTGTTTCCTCCTCTCTGAAATGGTCATAGGCAGGGGCTCGTGGAAGGGTTCATCAAGATTATGCCTGTAATATGCTTAGTAGGGAGCTGGAAACCTAATGCTTAATATGAATGTCTGTTGTTGGATGCACTCAGGCCTGTGGCGTAGGGGCTGACTGGACCTCCAAGGAGGAGGTGGACAAGAGAGAAAGATGTGTTTGTTATGTTGAGAGGGAACTGGACTTCTGGGGTTTCAGAGATGCGTCACTTGGCTAGTTTCATGAGGTTGGGCCTGAGCCCAGGTTGGGGCATGCGAGAGAAACCAACGGCTGCTGCAGCCGGGACAAAAGCAGCCCTGTTTAGTTAGCATTCTGAAGCCAGAGAGGCTTTCACGTGCTGTAAACCACAGGGTGTACCCCAGTGCCTGGAGGATCTCCAGGAGGAGCAGATAGGTGGCAGCGACTGCGGTCTTGTGGTGGGGGGAAGCAGGTTTGGGGAGACATAGGCCAGGGTGTGGACCAAGAGGGAGAAGGGCAGGGCACCATGTGTGTTGGCCGGGACAGCATGGGCTCTGCCGGGGCCCAGAAGGCCTGTGATCACTGGTGAGGGCTCATGCATTCCATCCTGCCGCAGATGTTTACTGAGCATGCACAATGTGCCAGGCTGTGTGCCAGTTTAACAGCTGTATTCTGTTTGTGTGGAATGCATGTCCCCAAGTAGAGGTGTTGGTACCGACTTCACAGGCTTGCTGGGGGAAAGGCATTTTCCTGTTTCCTTTCCCAGATCAGTGAGCCTGTCAGGTCCCAGCTGAGGAAGGAGCTGACACAGGGACATCCAAAACTCCTTTATTACCCTGAGTATAACAAATAGAACATGGTCACAGTATAAAAAACAGCGGGAATTAGGTGCAGGCTACCACAGAGTAGGCGCCGGGGACACGTTCCGTTGAGTCTGCAGCTAGTTACTTGGAAAAAGCCAATTATGATTGTAAAAATTTTATTCTCTTTAATAATAATTCCACTAAAATTATACAAAGTACATTCAATACTTAAGAGTGGCGAGGGTGGGAAGAGGAGGAGAGGAAGCCAGTTTGGCCTGGAAGCATCATCAGTCAACTCCAACAAAGGAAGCCCAGCTGGGCAGGAGGAAGTTGGGGGTGGAGGTCCGGTTGTAAAAAATAAAAATGTGGATCATTAAAAAAAAAAAATAGGGCCACCCACAAGGAAGCAGGGTGAGCGTGCATGTTCCTGGGAAGGGCAGGAGGCCCAGCCGGCATGCTGCTGCTGGGGAAGGGCTGGCACTCAGGCGGGCTCCGAGTTGGTGGGGGGCAGGTTTTTATGCTTGAAATACTGAACAACTTGTTGGGGCAGTTCTGCCAGCACAGCTTTGGCCAAGGTCTCTTTTGCCGCCTGCAGGGTAGGGTGGAGAGTGAGGAGAGAGAGAGGATTACTGGGTGAAGTGGGGAGGCGCACCACGCCCAGGCAGCTGGTATAGAAGGTGTCCCTGGAGGACAAGCTAGACCAGAAAACCAGAGCTGTCTAAAACTAGCATCCCTCAGTCCAGCCCAAGCCTGAAATCCCACCCTTGGCAGCGCTTTCCTTTGCCTTGACACTAAGTGTGACTCACCTGAGCACGCGACGTGCCCAGGAGTAACATTTCAGGATGAATTTGTCTATAGGAGGCTTTTGGGGGAAAGAGATGGTGGACGCGGGCTGCACAGCCTACTTATCTTGCAAACATTCCCTGATCTCCTCCTCGGCCGGGATCAAGGGGCTGCGACTGATTCGCTGCTCATCACCCAGACACAGGCCGGGCACACCAGGAGCTCGGTCAGTGTCTGTGTGGTGCCTGGGTGGGCAGTGCTCAGCACTTGTCCTCAGGAAGCTCACACTCCAGAGGAAGGAACTGAACCAGCTCAGGCAAACCCACAGGGTCCTGGGCAGAGAGGTGAGTACCAGTGCTTCCAAACTGGAGTGGGCAGTTCTTCAGGGACTAGCTCCCAGGACCTGAGCCACAGCACGCTGAAGTCCTTATGGTTGAGGCCGCGGAGGCCAGGAGGAGAGCAACACAGTGTGCCTCTCGTCAAATGAGAGGTAGGCTCCAGGGAGGCATCTGAGAGCTCCCTCGGGGGCTGCTTGTGGGCCTTGCTGCAAGGGCAGTGCCCACGAAGTTAATGCCAGCCTCCCTGTAAGCAGACCTGGTCCCCTGCAGAAGGACCAGAGCCACCTCCAGGAGCGTAGGAGGCCTCCAGTTCCCCCTTAGAGAAGCCCTCAGGGAGAGGAGGCCACTGAGGGGTGGGCCTTGTTTTCCACCTGAGGTGAGGAGGCTGGTGAGCTGTGAATCCCAGGAAAGCCCCTCAAAAGCACCTCAGGGCCTCTGCTCTCATCTCTTTCTCCTGGGATGGTTTGCCCCACATGGATAATTCTGACTTTTGGTTCAGGGTTAGAAGGCAGGTCCTCCTGGAGCCCCTGTCCTGAAGCCCCCAGTCTGGATTAGGCACCACTCCCCTGAGTTGCTGAAGCAAGTGCTCAGCGACTGTCACGTAGCCTCACCTGGGGAGAGGGCCTGGCATGGCCCCGGGCACGTAGTAGGCCCTCAGGAAGTATGTAGTCAACAGAGCTGAGGGTAGAGGAGCCTAGGACTGGGGAGGCAATCCCAGCGCCTTTATCCTGGATTGTTAACAACTGTGCTGGTTGGGGTCCTGTAACTGCCCCCTCCCCAGTCCGCTCCCACACTCACGTTGCGGAATTCTCGGAACGGCACGAACTGCACAATATCGCGGGCTGCCTCCTCCCCTGTGTGGGAGCGCAGCATGCGGCTATCCCCGTCCAGGAACTCCATGGCTGCGAAGTCAGCGTTGCCCACGCCCACGATGATGATGGACATGGGCAGCTTGGAAGCCTGCACCACGGCGTGCCGCGTCTCCTCCATGTCACTGATGACACCATCCGTGATGATGAGGAGGATGAAGTATTGCTGTGGGAGGGGGTCAGCAGGCACTCAGCACAGCCCAGGGCCCCTGGCTACCCTTCCCCTCCCTCCTTTCCCACCCGCCCCAACCCCTCTGACCCCTGGGAGGAAGGCAGTGCTCCTCCCAGAGCTGCTGCCAGACCGCAGCACCTCCCTCCACAGGCCTCTATCACAGCTGGAAGCACAGACTGCTTGCTCTCTTCCTCTGCCTTTCCCAGCTCAGGAGTCTGAGAGCTCCAGACTCCAGGCCTGGCTCTGATAGTGGCTACACTGTGGGACTCCGGGCCACTGTCTCAACTGGCTGTGCCTCCGTTTCTTCATCTGCAGAATGGGAGTTTCTACACCTCTCAAAGAGACCACGCCAGCCACGTGGTAGCAGCTCGGTAATTAACAGCCGTACACCCGCAGAGCAAGGCCCACGGCTGCTGGGGAAGATGCCTTCTGGCCTGTGGACTCTGAGACCAGCCTACCCTTCTCTACTCCACTTGCAGGTGAACACCTGTGACCCTGCTCATTCCCTGTCAGCACAGCCGACCTTGTAGGAGCTAAGCAGTTCATCTAGGTCAGTGCTTCTGGGAGTGTGGGGTCTGCTGGCAACAAGCAGAGTCTGGGCACACCCCAGACACAGCATCAGTCACAGTGGGGAGGGTACTGGTTTTGCAGTGGTCTTTGAATTCTACAAACTGTACCCAGGAGGAAGTCTGGTGCCAGTATGTCGCACTTGCTAACCCACCCTATTAACAGAGAAGGCAGGAACCTAAGAGCTCCAGAGATAGCAGTCTCTAGGTAGACCTTGCTACCACTGTGCTGCCTGATGTATTTATTTTTATTGTTACTCTCTATCCTAGCAAACAATAACTAACTTTTCCTATACAGTGAGTTATAGTTTCTCTATAAAATTAAGTGGAAAAAAAAAACTGAATAATAATTAACGTAGGTGATAGGTGGCCATAGCACAGACTGTGGAGGTGGGGGGTAGGTGAATCAAGTTCAAGAAAGCTCACTGGACTCCCAGCTGCCTGAGATCTCATCTTCAACTTGGTTCTGTGCCTAGCCTCCCCTGGCCCCTTTTGGGGACTCAGTTTTCCCCATCCATAAAATGAACAGAAAAGCCCCTGTGGTCCTAACAGTCTCTGTTTAGGGCTTTTGCCTTTTTGTCTGACCCTTCTGATTCTTAGGAGAGGCAATGTGGACCTAGAATAGTCAAGGTCATAGAGGTAAAAAGGGCAGAACCAAGCCAGCTCCCAAGTCAGCATCTGGCCACCTTCTCACTCAGCAAAGCCCTTCACTGCCTGGGAAGCATATGGAGACCACAAGTTCAGCCATCAAGGATTCCTTACTCTCCTGCCTGTCCCTAGACACAGCTGTGGAAGGCAGGAATGAACCACATGGAGGTATGGACCCCACCATCCTAAGCCCCAACCCCCAAAGGTAATCCAACTTCTGCACTGTGCCTTTAAGAGACTGATCACTTGGCTGGGGATGGATACCTGTTGCTATGGAGATGGCAGCCTGAATCCTTGCAGTGGAGGCTGCTGCTGCCAGTCCCCATTCCTCCAGTTGGGGGTCACCTCATAAGCCCTTCCACACTCTTGTCCCCTCACAGCCCACCATTGTCCCAGCCAGCCAGCACCCCCCTCTCTTTGTGGCCCTCTCACCCCACTGCTATCCTACCACAAATGGTCCAGGACAGTATTTCTGGGGTACCTAAGTTGGCAGGAGAAGCCTGGCTATGAGGACAGAAAAGAACACTTGGCCGTGGGTGACAGGCTTCTCCACTCAGAGGGTGGGGCTGGTTTCCAAGCCCCGTCCAGCTCAGACCACAGTCTCCCACCCTCCTCCTGACACGACCCTCTTGACTCTTCCCTTTCAGCCAGCCACGTGTCTGCATTTGGAGACTTGGAGCCCGCAGGCCTGGGTTCCTGCAGAACTGTAGGCACCAACTAAAAGGGTGAGTCATGGTGGCAGTGACCACACACACTCCCTGTCACCCTCACTCTGGGATTCTCCTTTTGGAGATGGGGAGACAAGCTGACGGGTTCAATGACTTGCTCAAGGACTCAGTCAGGAAGGGCATAGTCGAGGTTCAAGCCCAAGCCTGGGGCTCTGCCACAATGGCATCAGTGCCCAGTAGCTATCTCTCCAATAGTGGGGCCTGGCAGGGCAAAGCACCCCAGTTCAGGAGGCCTGAATGGCCAGGACAGCCGCCTAGGGCAGGGCCCAGAGGCATGGCATGGGACTCAACCTTCACTCCTGTGCACCAGCCAGACACCCACAGTGCCCGCAGCTATGTCCCACGCCTCAGCATCTGTGCAGCTGGGCCCGCCGGGGAGCAGCCTGGGCCAGCCTTGGCACTGGAAGTGCCGCTGACAAGTCCTGGGCTTCATAGCCCGTCCCAGGCAAAAATGAGGTTGTCCAGGAGCCCGAAGTTCTACTCCAACCCCAGGAGTCCACAACCCCATCCCCACGACATCAACGGAGAGATGGGAAGGATGTTGTGGAAGGGGAGAAGGAAGGGAGGCGTCAGGCAGGAGGTGGTGGGCAGGGCCTCTGCTGTCCCCACAGGCAGTCCTGGTCTACCCTACCCCAAGCTTCCCCACCTCCGTGCCTTTCCTGGTGTTCCTCCTGCCTGGGAACCCTCCCCAGCCACAGCTCCAAGGCTCCCAGAGGCCTGAGCTCTGCTTCCACTGCCAGCGAATACCCCGTGGGGAGGACTCCTCTGGACACTTCTCCCCCCACCCCACCCCCGCACCCTTAGAGCTCCTCAGGGCAGCCCCTCCCCTAGGCCTTCTGTATCTCATGGGCCTGGCACCCTGTGTGTGCTCCATAAACATGACCAACTGCCACCGGGTCAAACCCAGATCCCAGATCTCCAACACATTACAAGGATGGAGTGTATCTTGCCCTTACCCAAGAGGTTTTTCAGGTTTCTCAGGCTGTAAATGGTCACTTCCCCTAACACATTTAACGTGTGACTTGATTTATATGAAACTGACTTGACCACAGAATTCCAGGCAGAGTCCAGGAAAGTTGCACTCATTCCTAGCTTACTTCTGAGAAGTTGGCAGCTGAGGGCCCTGGGGAGTGGAGGGAGATTCCCAGGGTGCTGACTGCTTCCCGCACGCCCCCTACCCCTGCCCCACCCACCATTAGGACTGGTTGCCTAGGCAGCCAACCAGCAATGGACCACGGATAGGAAGACCCAGGTCATAGAGGTCAGAGCAGAGGGGAGGATGAGGAGCTCTCCACAGTAAGAGCCCCGTGGTCCCATCCAAACTTAATATCTTTCAGTGACTGTCACTGCCCTCAAGAGAAAGTCCAGGTTCCTCACTAGCTTAGAAGGTATCTCTGGGACCTGGCCTACCTTTCAACCTTACCCCCACCCACCCCTCTTACATCACACCCCTTCCTTCAGTTACGCCACACACCACACCTCCAAGCCTTTGCCCTATTCTGTTCCCTCTGCCTGGGACACTCCACACACACACACCCTTTATGAGACCAACTCTTAAGCAGCCTCCAAGTCTCAGCTTGGACCTCACTCCTCGAGGAAGCCAGCTCTGAGCCCTCGTCTGGGGTAGGTGCCACCTTTATAATACTGTGCTTTTGCCATCACAGGTTTAATCCGTTGGCATTACAGCTGCTGTCTCCTGGCCCAGCTCCCCACTAGACCACTGGCCCTGGGAGGGCAGCGGCCATGGCCTGGGATCATGGTCTCCCCATTACTGCACGGAAACACACACTGTAGAACCGAGCTATGTGAATGAATGGGAGAGTGCGGGCCTGCCTGGAGAGATGCTTCCACCACCTGCTCTTGATTTCCTGTGCATGGGTGTGCGTGCATGTTCGTGTGCCGGGGACAGGGAGGATGAAGCCACACCAAGTGTTTCCCAAACAGCGGCTGTTCAAAAGCATCAGGTAATGCGCAGATCACTTCCTTTTGCTTTAGGCCTAAATGACCTCAGCATCACCAATTGCCGGCCCAAGAGGCGTCCTCAGAAGATTCACCAGCCCACGTTGATTAGGGGCTGTCAAGTGCCAGGCTCTGTGCTGAGCAGTTTGGATGCCGATCTGCCTGAATCCTTGCAGTGCTTCCCTTAGGCAGGCAGCATTCCATCATCCCCGTTGTACACATGAGAAAACCAAAGTTGGGAGAGCTTAAGCACCCTGCTCTAGGTCCCACTGTCAGGAAGTGGGGCACTGGGATTTAAGCCAGGTCAGTGGGCCACCAGAGCTTGAGGCTGAACCATCAGGCAGCCCCACCTTCAGCACACAGTGATACGGACAGAGTGAAGGCAGGAGGTCATCTTGGACAGCAGAGTGGGAGGGGCCTCTTGCAGCCCAGAGGTGCTGGCTGGAGGTCACACCCAGGGTGGGTGACAGTGCTTCCCCAGGGTGCGGGAGCCAGGGTTGGAAGGACCTGGTCATGACGAAAGGGGCTGGGGGATTGTGAGGATTCGGACTGGTCAGGATCAAGACAGGCTCAGAGCAAGCACCAAGTTCTTCCCTGTGAGGGCCCTCAGCAGTTGTTCCCCAGAACACAAAGCCACCTTCCTGGCAGTCCCCAGTGCCCAAGCCTCTCCAGATTGAGGGTCTAGCAGGTACTGGCCCCCTTCTCAGGACCTCAGCTCCTGCCCCTGCTTGGCAGGTGAAAGAGCACAAGAGGAACCCTGGGCTCCATTCCTGCTCCACCCCATTTTTTACGCTTAAACAAGAATGCAGGCCATTCTTCCATCCCTCTGAAAGTGAGTCCAGGCAGATAAAAGACTAGGCGGGACAGTGGCCTGGGCAGCAGCAGGCATCCAAACAGTGTGTGAGGTGAGGGGCTACCCTCCTTCTGCCCCCTCCAGTTCTAACCCAGGAACATTAAAAAACAACTCGCAGGTCCTCCCCAGTTACTTCCCATTCAGGTGGGCTTGTTCCGTTTCATAAAGGAAACAGGCTCAGAGCCGTCAGCTGCTACCACCAAGGCCAGGACTAGAGCAGGTCATGGTCCCTGGAGCAGAAACGACCGGGACCACCTTCCTTCGAACCTCCCTCCTGTCCGTCACCAGCATCTGCTGTCCCCTCTGCCTGGGGGCTCTCCCCAGAACCCTCTGCCGCCTGTCTTTCCTCGTCCTCAGGTCTCACGGGTTGCCAGCTGTTGTGTTATCACATTTTAATCCTACCACCACCACCTCAAGGTCGGTCCTATTACTATTCCCATGGTACATACGAGGCTCAGAGAGAGTAAGCGATTTACCCAGGTCACACAGTGATGAACAGGCAGGGGCAGGATTCACACCCTGGCAGGCTGACCCCAGGACCCCCTTTCCCACACACCACGTGCTGCTGTCCTGCCCTCCCCAGGCTGACCAGTGTTGTCTGCTCTCATAACCTCCCCTCCTCTTATCTTGGCCTCCGTCTTCGGGAAGTCAACCTCTAACCTCCTCAGCAGGTGCCTCCCTCCTCCGGGCAGTCCGAATGGGACCAGGTCCCTTTCCCTTTGAGAGAGGCCCTGGCTGAATCACCTCCTCCCAGCTCCTCGTGGGGTGCACAGCACACGACAGGGGCCAACTTAAATCCATCCATTCCCAGAACACGAGCGTCTGCCGCAGCACCGGCCCCAGAGTAGATAAGAGACAGCAGACACACACACTGCGCGGCCCCACGGGGCTGAGGGTCCAACGCGGGAGAGACAAGAGACAAACGCAGAATATGTGAAGGAGATGTTGCCGCCCTCATCAGCGTCAAGACAGGCATAAGCAGAAGGCAGGAAAGAGGCTTGAGTGAGTGTGCAGGGTAGGCCGCAGGCAAGTAGCAGTTGAGGGGACACTGAGAGAAGGGACGGAGCCAGCCTCGGGACAAGCTGGTGTCTCTGAGGGGCGGAACAAGGTGGAAGTGGGATGGTCACCGCAAGTAAAGAAAGGAGCGTGGGGCTGCGGGGGAGGAGGTGGGGAGGGGCAGGATCTGATGTCTGCAGTTAAAGGACATGTCAGCAGGAGTATGGATAGGAGGGGTGGGGGCGTGTGACAGTGGCCACAGCCTCGGGGCAGCTGGCGAATGAAGGCAGAGTGAAAAGGGCAGGCAGGAGCGACTTCAGCACTTGTGCAGCAACCCTTTCCTTCCAGAGGAGAAGGAAGCCGCCTTCCACCGAGGGCGCAGGGGCCTCAGTCACAGTCCAGGTTCCACCACCCCAATGCGGGTGCCGGTTCCCAGTCTGGGTTCAGACCTCCAACTCGCGTCACAAGCCCTGGTGGACTGCAGGGGAGGCGGACAAGGTGGCCCCAACACTGGCACTGGGCCTGAAGCTGGGAGGGGGAGGGGAGGGAGAGTGGCTGGGATGCCGTATATTCCAGATGCCACACAGCAGCCCTGTCACTGACCGCCAGACCTGGGCCAGACAGTTCCAAAGCCCTCAGTGTGAGGTGGGGGCTGCTCTAATTGGAACTGGATGACCCAGAGGGTCTGCCTGAGGGCTGCAGGGACCCCAGACCCAGGTTTCCCTCTGCCCATCAAGGCACTTCCCAATAATCACAACCCTATTTTCCTCTAAGCACAAACAATGGAATGACTCTCTGTCCTGGAGTCTGTGCTCAAGGAAGCTGGAACCAAGGCAAGCTTGCCCCCAACCCCTTCCCCATCCCTGCAGGTAAACTAAAAGTGGAGAGACACTGGGCTCACCTAGGATCTTAGAACATGGAGAGGCAGAACACCCAGCCGGTGCCTGCCCTACCCTGCACGTGCACACCAGTGGTCACCTACTCACCGTGGCTGTCTGCTGCTGCGTGGCTTGGGCTGCAAACCGGGCCACATGGTTGACAATCGGAGAGAAATTGGTGGGACCATAGAAGCGGATGTGGGGCAAGCAAGCCGAATATGCCTGGGCGATGCCATCCACACCTGCCTCAGGGAGAAGAGAAGACTCTGGATCAGCCTGGTCCTCCCTGACCCTGCACCCACTCTCAGCTGCCCCCAACCCAAACACCCCTGCTGTGCCCAGTCTGGGCCCTGGGGTACTGGAAGGTCCCAGAGAGCAGGGCCAGGGTGGAATAAAGAGCCCTGAACATAGAGTCTGACCTGAGTTCCAATCCTGCCTTTACCACTTCTTAGTCATGGGGCCTGAAGGAAGGTACTTAAATCTATCTGATCCTAAAAAAAAAATCTATCTGATCCTGTCAAAGGGGCTGGTAAGCTGGCAAGAGGGGGTCTAGCAGGCTCCTCTTGGAGAAGGAGTGGGCAGAGCCTGCAGTGACACTCGGGTCCCAGGAAGCCATCTGGGGGTCCATTCTGCACATGCTATGGCTTCTTAGGGTTGGTGAGGGGACTAAGGTTTGCACAGCCCTGCAGACAGACGGTGCTCTGTAAATAGCTGCCATTACAAGTCTAAGAATACCGCCTGCCCTGCCATCCTGTCGAGAAGGCCTCTGGCCAGAGATGAGGTAAATGAACAGAATGTCTCTTTGCTCCAAACCACACAGACCCCAGCCGGAGGGCAGGACCACACTTCCAGTCAGCAGAGGCCCATGGCTTCTGAGTCACAGCATCATCCCTAAGGTGGTGACCTGATGCAGTCCCCTCTCACATACAAACCTGACCCAGCTTCAGGGATCCCCAGGGAAGGCAGATGTTCCATCTGAAGCCAGTTGAAGCTAGCAGCTCTCGTGGAGTCAGGGACCACCCTCTTCCATACCCCTTCTCTTTCACTGTTTCTTAACTGATTCTGGGAGGCTCAGAAATCCTCTGAGGCCTGGGGCGCAGAGAGCACAGACACCATGCTCGCTGCCTTCCCCTCCCTCTTGCCCAGCACCCCTGCCCACGTCAGGCAGGACATGGCTGGGCACTACCCAGTGAGGTGAGCTCCCTCCCCTAGGGCAGGTGAAGTGGCACCGGCCCAGTGTGGTGCAGTGACCTCTCCAAGTCACACAGCCCGGAAAAGGCACAGCTGGCCCTGAATGCCAGGCCACCTGACTCCAAATTGCAGCCTCTTCCCCATTTGCCATCCTGAGCAAGTGTGATGGGGAGAGGTGCAGAAGACAGAAAACTGTACTCCGCCCAGGGAGACCAGGGCTGATGCAGGGGGCTTGATACTCACCTGAGCAGAAGGGGTTGGTGGGGTTGAAGTTGATGGCGAACTCATGGGAGACCTAAAATGCAGAGAAAATGGTGAGTCAGAGCCTCCTGGCCTATACCTGGACCCAGGCAGGCTCACCCGCTGCCAAGCAAGACTCCCTCTGAGGGAGACTGGCTCTTTGCTACCCAACCCCAGGTCAAGGCTGTGGCACCCCCTGCATCTGCTTTCACCTCCACCGCTGGCTCTGAGTGACCACAAGGCCCAACCACCTCCACTTCATAAACAGAAGAAACTCAGACCCTTCTCTCACTCAAGTCGTGTCCGACACTTTGCAGCCCTGTGGACTACATCCCGCCAGGCTCCTCTGTCCGTGGAATTTTCCAGGCAAGAATACTGGAGCAGGTTGCCATTTCCTACTCCAGCGGATCTTCCCAACCCAGGGATTGAACTTGTGTCTCTTGCATCTCCTGCACTGGCAAGCGGATTCTTTACCACTGCGCCACCTGGGAAACCCCCAGATCCTTCTATACCACCCTGATCTCTTCTGGGGGGCCAGGGCTGTCTCTGCCTCCTCAGAGATGTGTCTGAGGGTGTCGGGTTCAAGGAGCAGTTGGAGCACTCCTTTGCCACCTGCTTTCATGGTACAATTTCACATAATTAGAATTCCCCTTCTTCAGGCCTCAAGGGCCTTCCCCCATCTCACTAATAAGCACGAGTACTTGGAAGAAAGCCCACCTTATGCCAGCAAACCAAGCTGGGGCTTAGCTGACAACCCACGCAGAGCAGGACTGGGGGATCAGGAAACATAATGGGGCCAGAAGGGCAGGGAGTAGAGAGCTCTGGCCCAGTTCCTGCAGACCCAGCTCCGAGCCTGGGAAGGTCATCGAAGGTGACCCTGCACACTCCTGGAAGCTGCGGGCCCACACAGGGACCCATAACCAGACCCCGTTCAGGGCAGTGGGTAAGACTGAGGTGGCTGCAGAACCCAGGACAGCAGGAGGCCCAGAGCTCAGGTGGGGGTTAGGGTCTGCCCTCTCTCCCTGCCACTGTCTCCTAGCCAGAGACCCCACACAGCCCCTTGCCTGAGAACTGGGTGCTGCAGTCCACATCCGGCACCTTAGCAGCATCCCCTCACTCGTTCTTCACAACAATCCAGAGAAAGGTCTGGTATCACCCCGTCACAGATGTAAAACTGAGACAAAATGGACCAGATGATCCCACGGTCTCACATCTACCGAAGGGGAGCGCTGGGACCAGAACTGAAGTCGGGCTGTTGCCTGTGCTCACATAAACTCACTAACCTGAGAAGGTGTTCCTCTCCTAAGGAGTTTAAATAGGAAGGCAAAGAAATGCCTGGGGGAAGGGACCCACGCCTTCAGCTGCTGGAGGAATGTTCCAGTCCAGACACAAACAACCCCAGACAGACACTCGAGCTCCGAGCCACTGAGGGGAGGTACTGGAAGCCCCTGCCGAGTCCAACATCCCCACTTTACAAGTAAACTAACTGAGGCCCAGAGAGGGGAAGAAGCCGGGTGCCAAGACCACACAGCAGAAGAGACCTGAGGCCTAGGATCCTCAAGCCGGGTAAAAGGGTTGGTTGGACCTCTGACCATGCGGAGCCCTCCTGGACCAAGATGGGACGGTCACAGCAGGGGAATTCACCCAGCACTGCCTCGTGCCTGCTGGCCTGAGGAGCAGACACTGGCTGTTCAGGGGAATGGGCTTTTCTGTTCCTTGGCCCCTCGGCCCTAAGTGCGTGGCATGGAGCCATTGCCCTGATGTCCCTCCTGGGCTCTTTCCCTGCCCAGGGGCCCGCTTCACCCTGTCCCCAGCCTGGGCTCCAGGTGTGGGGGCTGGAGGTCCTTGTTGCCATGGAAACTTCATGAGCCTCTACAGAGATTAAGAGGGGGGCTTGTACAAAAGGGGGCTGAGAGAGGAAAATGGTTGCCAGGGAAACAAGTCTCCCTTGGGCTGGCTTCCTGCAAAATCAGATTTTAGGAGATTTTAGAGACCAAGGGGGAAAAGCCCCCTCCTGACAGGAATGGATTAATATTCCATTTTCTCAGCCACCCAAATTCGTCATTCCCTATTCTTTTCCTCTATTTAGGGGAGAGTAGGGCCTTGTGGTCAAATGGGTGGGGCTGTGGGAGGTCACCCATCTACCTGGGATGCCTCTCAGGTCACCTACTCCACCCAGCAGCTCCATTTCACAGGTGGAACAACTGAGGTTCAGAGAAGCCCAAGGAATGCTCAGGTCACATGACTGAGCCACAGCAGAGCCAGGACTGGATCCAGGGGATAAGAGCTCATGCTCCCCGTGGCAGTCCAGCCCCCTCCCACACTTGCTGCCCCGGTTTGCCTGAGAAATGCCAACAAACACGACAAGCTTCTTGGAGGCCACCCCAAGCCGATTAGGAGCCCCTGGGGACTGGCCAGCCACAGAGCTTTGTTCTGGGACTCTACTGCCTTCTAACGATCAATGGTTCTGTTGCCCCGACCTGGCTGGGCCCAGCCTGTGGTCCTGAGTTACTTGAGAGGTCATTCCCTCTGGTCCTGGCAGGGCAGTGGGTTGGGGCCACATAGGGGGTTGAAGGGACCTCAGTGACCATCCTCCCTGAGCCTCAGTTTTCCCCATCTGTAAAGCGGGGAAAGTCCTAAACTGTGCTTTTTCCCACCCCGGGCCTTTTTGCATAGGCCAATCCTTTGGCCCAATCCCTTTCTTCACCTGACTAACTCTGGCTAATCCTGAAAGGTCAGTCCCTCCACCACTACCCAGGACAGGGGTCTTCTCCATGCTCACCTGGGCCAGACCCAGGCAGGGACTGAGGTCCTGAGGGCAGGCCACTGAGTTACATGCTTCTAGCTCCTTCCAACCTCCCACTCAAGAGAACCAACACCTCTGCCTGCTCAGGCCACCAGGCCCCAAATTTACTGTCCATAATCACATACTGCACACTGTGTGTGTGCCTGGAGCTTGACACAGCAAGGGCCTGAGGAAGTCTTCCTAGACGAAATGACCTCTAGGCTATGAAGCAGCATGGGAAGTCAGTGAAAGGGGGCCAAAGGCCAGGGGAAGATCATGTGCAAAGGCCCTGAGGTGGGAACGAGCAAAGGAAGGTTCACGTGGCAGGGCACGGCAAGTTAGCTAAGAGGGAAGGTAAGGGGCTGGGAGGCAGGCCTGGCTGGCTCCAGCACCAACGGGAGGAGGGGAGAGCATTGCCCTTTCCACGCCGCGCTCCAGCAACCCTCCTGGCACCGCTGGGCACTCCAGCCTGGCCACGCCCACCCTCCCCAGAGTTGCCCTGTGACATTTCCAAGGAGGCTTTTTGCACAAGAAAACATCTCATTCAGGCAGAGTTCTTTGAAAGCTGGCTGGTGTCCTAGCAACGAGCTCATGCCGGGCCTGGCCTCACCAGCCTGCCCTCCCCCCAGCAGCATCACTGTGTCTGCCCAGAGGCCCAGCTTTGGCCCCACAGGATCCTGTCCCCTGCCACACGATGGCCAGCATGCCAGAGCCACTCCCTGAAGTTCTAGCTGAAAACTGCCCTCCCGGTAGAAGACGAGAGGAGAATACTCAGTGGAAACAGCACGTGGTACAGGACGGCAGGCAAGAGAGGGCACTGGCTGAAACATAATGTAGATTTAGGAGCCCTCTGTGCTCACACCCCCAGACTTCTCATCAGAAAGGTAGCACATTCTGAGAACAGATCTGAGAGTCCACCTGCCCAGGTGGAATTCAGGCTTCCTATTATGAAAACGTCCTTGGACAAGTCACTGAGCCTCTGTTTTTCATCAGTGAGGGATAATGCCCCTTCTCTCCATCCCTCCATTCTGCCCAGCATCACCCCAGCCAGCTCCCCCACTCAGCAGCCAGAGTGGGCCTTCAGAATGCCAGCAACACGTAGACCCACTCATAGCTCGCTGCATGCCTGGCTCCCCACCTCTTCAGCCGCATCTCTCTCATCCTGCCCATCTTTCATGGAGAGTTCACCACACCCAGCTTCTTTCAGTTCCTCCAACTCACCCTGCTCCCTCTGGCTCCCAGACTTTGCACAGGCTCTTTTCTCTGCCCTGAAAACTCTGCCTGCCACGACACCACCTTGAGTCACTCTGCAAACTCCTACTCTCCCTTCCCTTCTTGGTTTAGACCTTGCCTCCTCCAGGAAGCCTTCCCTGATACCCCCAGGCCAGTTTGGGGCCCTCCTCTAGGGACTGCTGCCCCATCTCAGCACTGATGACACAGCCTGTCTTTAGGGCTGCCAGACAGAGCATACAGTGCCCAGTTCAATTGGGATTTCAGATATATAATGGATAATTTTTTAGTTTAAGTATGTCCCAGGCAATATTTGTTGCTGTAACCCGCCAGCCTCCTCTATCCATGGGGTTTCTCAGGCAAGAATACTGGAGTGGATAGCCAATCCCTACTCCAAGGGATCTTCCTGACCCAGGGATTGAACTCCTGTCTCCTGCATTAGCAGGTGGGTTCTTTACCACTGAGCCACCAGGGAAGCCCTAGGCAATATAAAGGACATACTTAACCTATTTACCTGATAGCATCTTCTCCCACATGACTGGGTGCCAGGGGGCAGATAGGATAACTTATTCCCTGTTCTGGCTCTACTACCTGTGTGCGGTTCAGGATGAGAAATGAGTGTGGGTTTGGGATAAACACGAGAAGGCAGGGAAGCTAGGCCCCAGCCCAGCCTTTCCAAGGCAGATCCCAGAGAGGCCATCATACAAACCTCATCTCAGCCAAAAGGAAACAATCTGGCTCCACTTACCTTCCAGTCTGGGGGTAACTGTGCCCCAAAGCCCAAAGCTGGGAACATCTTATCACTAATCAGAGAAAGGAGAGGAAAAAAAATAACTGTGAGACAATCAGGCAGGGACCTCATCTACCCACGCTCACCCTCCCCAACCCCTACTTAGGGCTGGGCCCACACGGTTGGTTGTACACGCTTCCACAGGCAAAAAAAAAGCTTACTGCCTCTAGAAAAAGCTCTGTTTGGATGATCTCCAAACCCACTTCTGGGTATCTGGTGAATTAGTGGCTTCACCCCCATCTACACCTATGGCAGACACTGCTAATCAATCACAGCACTTCTAACCAATGGACCTGAGTACAGTGTTGAGATCCTTCTCAAACTGGGACCTTGGCGACCACTAAACCACAGTTATGAAGCAACTGAAATGTACTGGCTGTCTCTTTGCCTCCCTTTTATGACTGGGAAAAATTCTGAGGTGAAAACACTGGCTTGGCATTCAAGACCTTTCATCACCTAGTCCGAGTCTAGTCTCTTCTACCAGCCCTCACTCATTCCCCACTCCCCCAGTCCTGGCCACTGGCTACTCGCTGTTCCCCAAACACATAGGGCATCTTTAGGTTTCAACTTCAGCCCTGTTGCACCCCTTCTTGAAACACCTCTCCCCAATCTCGTCCCTGTGGCAAACTCCTACTCACCCTCTAAGGCCCAACTCAAATGGCCCTGTCCCTCTGTGGGTTTCCCTGAGACCCCAGGATGCCTGGCTCCGTGGTGCACTCACAGCTCCTGCCTCACACGTAAACTAGTCTCTGGGAACTGCAGTGATTTCCTGTCTTCTTCCTCCAATGGGAACTCCCTGAACACAGGGACCATGTCTCATTTGTTCATTCAGCAGGTATTTACTGAGGAAACCTGTGGCTGCCATGTGGAGGACAAACTGTCAGGGGCTAGGGCAGAAGCAGGGAGGCCAGTGAGAAGGCTGCTGAATCACTCACTCTGAGCAGGAGGTGGTGGTGGCTCAAACGATTTGGTGGCTGTGGAGCGGGTAGAAGAGGTTGGATTCAATTACATTCTGAAAAGATTTCCTGATGGAGTGATGGGGGAGATGAGGGAAATAAAGGAAGCAAAAGGTTTTCGGTGAGTGGGACAGGTGTCCAGTTGCATCTGAATGCCCACGAGACAGCCCAGCGAATACAAGGGTCTGGGCAGATGGATACAAGGGTCTCTGGAGCAGCAACGGTAGGCTTCCCCACCCAAAGATGCAGGTGGGGACTTCCACCTCCCTTGCTCTGCTCGCTGCACCTCTCTTAATGTGGCCTGGGGTTACAGCCACCGCGTAGACCCTGAGCCCCCCAGGAGTCAGAAGCTGGTCTTCAGGGTGCCTCTCTCAAGGAGGCCAGGTGCACACAGACTTCTCAAGCCTGTTCTTGTGCCTGCCAAATCTCAGGGACCTGCTTCCCACATATTGGCCTCCTGGTCGTTCCACCCTCTGATCTGGAGGTTCTGACAAACACCATCTGTGAAAATGACACCACGACCCTCAAGTGACTTCTGGATCCTCCAAGACCCTCTCAACTTTGCATGTGGCCTGTTGGTGGTCACACCCTCTATACAGCTCTCCTTCACTGACTCTACACTGTCCTCCAAACCAAAGATCTCTAGGAAGCGTGATCATGGACTGAGGGCCCATGCAGGCTGGCTGCTCCTCTTAAGTTCCCCACAGGAGTGAGACTGTTAGGCCATTAGAGGGCAGGTGCAGGAATCGGAATGTCTGGGTTCCAGTTCCCTGATCTGTGTGATAAATTCTCTCCCCACACCCTAGGCCTGTTCTTCTCCAGCTCTAACAGTGGAGGTTGCAGCAAGAGAAAATGAGTTTCATTTTCTGTCTTGACTCATTTTCTTACTGGCTACGTGGTGTACTGTTTGCAGAAGGATCTCAGGAAGGAGCTAGGACCAGCTGGAGAGAGATCAGCAGTTGATTAGCAATGTCTGCCACAGGACATGCATGTCCTGAGCTACCCATTCCTAGGTCTGAAGATCTCTGGGTCCCTTCTAGCTTTGACAACTGAGCTTCCTGGAATGGATGGAGCCCAAGCCGACCATCACAGGCCCTTCATAAGCATACCTGTCATAGTCCTGAATGATCTGCCCAACCGCCCAGATGGCCGACAAATATTCATTGGTGCCCATGGGGTTGATATAGTGCAAAGAGGAAGGGTCGAGGGGATTTCCATTGGAGGCTGTGAAGTCTATCCCAACCTGCAGGAAAAGGCCAGAGACCCCAGCTCCCTATCTTGCCTCCAGGGAACAGAGAGGCTGATGGAACATGGGAAGCCCCACTCATCACCCCGCCTTGACCCCCGCTTCCATAAGACGGTCCAAAACCCGGAAACTGACCATGTTACTCCTCTGGCTCTAAGGCCATCTGTGGCTCCCTATTGCCAGAGCATCAAGTCTACTGCCCAGATGTGATACAAAACCAATGTACAGCCCCAAACCTTTTCCCTGTCACAGTTCCATTTCCAGGCCTTCATTCATGAGGTTCCCTCTACCTCTATAAGCAAGGTCATTTTTTCACTCTCTTCCAATCTGCAGGCCCAATTCATATATCACTGCCCCATTGACACCTTCCCAGACACCTCGCCCCCATACCAGGCCATCTCCCCCCCACCCCTCAGACCACCAAGGGGCACCAGGACCTGGGGCTGGCTGCTAGGGCAATGCCCGCACATCTAGTCACACTGGATGCTCACTGCAGGTAAGACGCATGGTCCCAGAGTCAGGTCCACGGCTGGGCACAGAGCACCAGGCAGGTGCCCCGCATGGACTGAGACTGGCAGATGGGCAGGGTACTGAGCTCCACCTGCTCTCTCAGCCGTGAGGGTTTCCCACCCAGCCTCTGGAGGGGAGCAAGGAGCGGTGGCAAGGCTGCCCAGCCAGAGAGGGACCCAGGGCATGAGATGGCCACCCGAGGACTCAGTCGGGATCAGCCAGGGACCACTGCAGAGGCACAGCCTGCAGCCTGGCACACAGGAGGTGCTTGGTATCGCTGGCTGAGTGAACACATGCACACAGGAGGAACAGCAGGACCTTGAGGGGGGCTGCTATGGCAACCTGTGGGGTTACAGGTCAACAAGACAATCCCCTGCCTCCTTAGAGTCCTGCAGATGACTTCCAGCCCCCATGGGGCCTAGAGGTGGTGATGGAGAGCAGGGAGGCTAGGTGGGAAGTGGGCAGAGTACAGGACCCCAGCAGGTTCTCCCGTGGTCCAGAGGCTTCCCTTTGGGTGAGGAATGGGACAAGTCTGGGGCACATACTCCAGGCCACTGGCAGAGTGACCATTCATTCTCCCAGTGAGTGTTTACTAAGCATGTGCTACATGCTGGGTACTGAGTGATACCTCGAGGGTGGAGAGGAAACAAAACAAAAGCCCCGCACTCAGAACACTCACAGTCACTAGTGGGGCAGGGACAGTGAAAAATACTTAAGAATCCACTGCAGGGGGTGCGGGTTTGATCCCTGGTGGGGGAACTAAGGTCCCACATGCCACGTGGTGTAGCCAGAAAGTTAAGAAGAAAATTTTTAAAAAAATACTTGAGAAAATTTCAGAGTGGCAAATGCCCTGAAGTTACTAAAACAGGAGACGGGATGGAGAGGAATAGGAGGCATCGGCGGAGGTGACCTAAGTGTCACAGCCTGCAGGGCAGCGGACACAAGAGGGCTCTGGGGAAGAGCGTTCCAGACAGGAGAAACAGCAAACACAAAGCTCCAAGACAGAGCAGAGCCGAGCCGAGCCAGTGTGTGGGGGAGCAGTGAGGATCAGTGTGGACGGGGCTGAGTGAGCAAGGGGAAGGATGCAGCAGATAGGAAGGGAAATGGGAAAGAACTGGCTTTTTTTCCCTCCTGAAGAAGTGTAGCCTAACCAGTGACGCTCAGGGCTGAGCATCCAGGCTCTGACCTGCAGCGAAGCCCTGACTCAGACCCGAGCATCCAGGCTCTGACCTGCAGCGAAGCCCTGACTCAGACCCATCCACCCATACCCTCTTCTCTGGTCAGACACAGCCCATGCCCTGGGAAAGTCCTTCCTGAAGTCTACCCCAAGTGGCTCCTGCTGAAGTCGTAGCTCAAGCTCTTCAGGAGGATCCTCACTGGGGAGGGGAGGGGAGGGGTGGGGTAGGGTGGTGGAAAGCCTTACGGTGAACATGAGCTGGCAGCCTCCCAGGATGTAGTCCAGGAAGGAGTAGTCCCGGGTTATCTGGAAGGAGTCAGAGAGGTCAGTGGGCCCCGCCCCGCACCCGAGGGCTGGCCCTCACTTGGCCATGCTCGCCACAAGCAACCGCTGGGGAGCTGTCGCTCTGGGCCCAGATGGTGGCCAAGGAGGCCGAATAAAGCAGATGCACCTGATCTGATTACCACAGAACCCAAATCCCTCTGTAACAGTGGAGCAACGGTTCCCAATTGGTGGAACATCTGTACACACACAGATGCACAATAAGTCCACACAGTGTCCCAGGGCCCAAAGTCAGTAACAACTACCAATTATATAATTATATGTAAGCTGCTGTTTAGTCACTATGTCATGTCTAAGGCTTTGTGACCCCATGGACTGCAGCCCACCAAACTCCTCTGTCCACGGGATTTCCCTGGCAAGAATACTGGAGTGGGTTGCTGTCCCTCCTCCAGGGAATCTTCCCGACCCAGGGATTGAACCTGCGTCTCCTGCATTGGCAGGTGGATTCTTTACTGCTGAGCCACCTGTGAAGCCCAATTACATGGCAGAGAAAGCCTCAATTTGTTGCCATTTGGTCCCTAAGTCTCTCTAGCTCTTACCAACCTCGACTTGGAACAGAGAGAGGCCAGGCCACCAGATCAAGACCTTCTGCTGTAAATTACTAAAGCTGTTAAAACATAGTTTGGTCTTTGTCTCCTTTTGTCAAAGGATACTGGCCTTCCAATATTGGTGACGTTGGAAGGGTTCCCTGTAAAATAAATGTTTTTAAGTAAAAAAGACACCAAAATGGGAGGAGGAGGGGCTGAATACAAGAAATAACAAGGCGGGTGCCAGAAACCCAGAAGGGCGGTGTGAGTGACAAGTTTCTGAAACAAGGACCTGAAATCACGATGCTTCAACCCACCAGCTTCACTGTCCCAGGCTGCTGCTGCATTGGGACCGCACTGACGCTCACGTAAATCCTAGTCTCCAGGTGAGGAATCTGAGGCCTGGGGGAGGCCAGCTGGTACAGCCAGTGACAGGGGCCTCCAAGCCTGGTGTTCAGGGCTCCTGCTGCCCTGGCCGGGGCTGCGTTCCTTAACGTCCCACCCGATTCCAGCAGACATGTGGCCACCAGACATCTGGGGGCCCGGCCCCTGACCTCAGCCTGGCCACAGTGGTGTGAACAATGTCACTGTGGGCCTCGGTGGCCCCAGTTACACCGCAGGGCAGGAAGCCGAGCCTTCACTAATGTCACAGGGGACAGGGTGCCCTGGCCCAGCACTCTCTCCCCCTCTGATGCTGAACATGCAGTGGACAAGCCTGGGAAAAAGCAACTCCCTAGAGTTACCCTGGGCTTCCCTGGTGGCTCACTGGTAAAGAATACCCCTGCCAGTGCAGGAGACGCTGGTTCCACCCCTGGGTCGGGAAAATCCCCTGGAGGAGGAAAGGGCAACCCACTCCAGTGTTCTTGCTGGGAGAATCCCATGGACAGAGGACTACAGTTCATGAGGTGGTAAAGAGTTGGACATGACTGAGCAACTAAAGAACAATAGTTACCCTCCAACCAGGAGACCCTGGAAGGTCATCTCATACCCTCCTTGACTTCAGCACAGGAACAGGATATAAGACTTTATATGCTTAATCATGTTAATGTTCCCATTCCACACATGAGCAGACTGAGGCCTAGAGAGGTTAAGCTCAAAAGGTCTCAGAACGAGGCTCCATTACCCACCCACTCCAGTATTCTTGGCCTTCCCTTGGGGCTTATCTGGTAAAGAATCCGCTTGCAATGGGGGAGATCTGGGTTTGATTCCTGGGTTGGGAAGATCTCCTGGAGAAGGGAAAGGCTACCTACTCCAGTATTCTAGCCTAGAGAATTCCATGGACTGTATAGTTCATGGGGTCACAAAGTGAGCTGGACACGACTGAGCAACTTTCCCTTCACTTCACTTGATGGCTCCACACCTAGTGCTCCCTCTCTTCTGCAGTGATATATCTATCTCTGTGTGACCCCAAACCTTGCCCCTGCTCCACGCCCACCCAGGCTAACTCACCTTGCAGGAACGCAGGATAATGACGCCTGAATTTTTATAGTTCTTCTTCTTCTTTTGCTTCTTGGGGTTGATACACTCAAACTCCCGCTGCACAACACAGAAGGAGAAAGAGGGGCTCAGCTTGGGGCCTCTGCGGGGACTGACCCTCCCCTGGGCCCCAGAACCCATTCTACAGTGTGGGCCAAGGGGTAGCACACCTCCTCCAGGAAGCCCTCCCAGAACTGGTTCCTGCCACCCTGGGCTCATGCCTCCCCACAACTGATTCCTGCCACCCATGGGCTCCAGCTCATGCCTGGAGTCAAATGGATAGCTCCTGAGGGCTCACTATGCACTTCAGCTGTATAATCTCATGTAATTCCCACTCTACTATTTTGCCTCCACTTGACAGATGGGGAAACTGAGGCTCAGAGCGACTGAATGTCTTGCTCAAGGTCATAAGGCAGAGAGGTGGGATCTGAGCCCCTGTCTGCCCCTGATTCAAAAACTCCTGTCCCTTCCCTGTCCCCTGTGGAGGGCTTAGGGTCACGCCCTTGTGCACATCTTACCGGGACACCGTCACGAGCCTCACACATCTGTGACACCGAGGTCTGGAACTCACCGATGAAGTCGTGGCCCCCGTCGTTGTCATAGTCATAGCACATAACCTGCAGTGGGTCCAGCGAGGTCACCCCAGGGCTGCCCGCAGCAGGCACCCACAGCTCCTCTCAGTTCCCTAAGCAAACCCCATGTCTTTTTTTTGGCGGGGGGTGCCTCCCTCTCCCCCTCGATCTGACTACCTGGCTTGGGGTGATGACTGTAGCTCCTGAACTGCCTCCTACAGGAAGCCTTCCATGATTGCTGGGAGGAGGAGAAAGGGTGTCTGCTCTAGTAATGGAGACCCCTCCCTCTGGTGTGGGAAGCTGCACACCCCACACACCTGACACTGGGCTGCTACTCCGTCTTGGGTTGTGGCCCACCTGGACTCATGGGCCATGGCCTGGAGTCCTCCCTAGACTTGTAATTCTTTTCCTGAGATGGGCACAAAAAGTTCCAGCTTGATGTGCTAACTTAGCTGTCGTGACACTCCTAGAAGGAAGGCAGGAATTACTGTACCCATTGTACAGATGGGTAAACCAAGGCTCTAAGTGGGAAGCACTGGCCCAAAGTCTTACAGTCGCAGCAGGAGAGCCAGAACCAGGACCCAGGTTTCCTGGGGCCCTGTCTGGGGGTCCCTACACGGCCTTGCTGCCTTGCCCCACCCCATCTGCTCTCAGACCCGGTTCCAAGGACTGAGGGCTTTTAGAGACTAGTAATCACCATCTTCCTCAACAGCGACAACACTTGGTTGTTTCCAAGGTGATCCTGCATTCATTAGCTTAGCGAGCAGCACACAGCCCTCCAGGAAGAACAGGGCAGCCACTCTGTTCCCATTTTAAACAAGAGGTTCACAGAGATGAGAGCCCTGCCCAGATCAGTCAGAGGGTCCGGCAGACCTGGGACAAGGACTCAGGTCTCTTGCCCCTCCCCACCACGGGTTCTTCTTGCATCTTAATAAGCAAGAGCTTTGCCAAGGCACCCCCAGGAAGCCTCAGGTGACCGGGAGGCCAGAGCTGGAAGGGTGGGCAACAGGGTTCCCGCAGCCCCCCCACTCACCTGGATGGGCTTCTCCATGTCCCCATCGCACAGGGACACCAACGGCACGGTGAACGGCTTCCACACGGGGTCCAACGTGTACTTGATCACCTGCAGGACAGTGAGGAGGCAGGGGTGAGCGGGGGCCCAGGGGTGGCAGTGCTCTGGGATCGGGCCAACACAATGGGACAGGGGGAGGCAAGGTGGAGAGACCCACAGCCACGCTTCTGGGAATGGATGTGAGCACCCCTGTGATGAGGAGGGAGCAAGTCCTTAGGGGCCACCAGGGGTTTTCCTGGGCACTGTAGGATGTGCCTGCCGGGTCCTGCCCCGAGCTGTCAGGGTGGCCAGACTGCAGGCCCACTAGCTCAGAGACCCCTGGACCCCCACACACCCACCTCAGTCCTGTGGACCAGCATCCACTTGCCGTCATCTCCTGGTTTATAAAACTCGAGAAATGGGTCTGACTTCCCGAATAGATCCTGGAGGAAGCGGGAGGATGTGGGTGAGGGAGGCACAACTACCGGATTCAGATGGGGTGGGGGTGTGGCCCAGCTGTTTCCCTTCCCCCACCCCCAGTGTCAGGAGCGGGAGCTGCTGGTCCCACTCCCTCAGCCTCTGCAGGGCTCAGCAGAGACCCAGGCAGTCGCAGACTCCTGGAACCAAGCAGCATCCCCAGGAGAAACCGCCCCATCCTGGGGTGACCAGAGCTTGTGCTCAGAGAGCTGGAGGCCTGGAGACTGTAGAAGTTACAATTCCAGCATCTCAGGTGGGGCAGGACGTCAGAGAGAGAATGTTCCCAGGGCAGGGGGAGGTACCCAGCAGAATGGGATTTTAATTTATTTTAGTGGGGTTCTGAAAAAATAAAAGCAAAATTATCCTAGCAGAAAAGTTCTTTAAAACTCCATTTAAGAAAACGTGGAGTCTATAACAGGCTACATTCAAGAGTGGGGAGACGTAAAACAAATGAGTAAATAACATACATTGGGACTTCCCTGGTGGTCCAATGGATAAGAATCTGCCTGCCAAGGCAGGGGACACAGGTTTGATCCCTGATTGGCGAAGATTCCGTGGAGCAACTTAAGTCTGCACATCACAACTACTGAAGCCCATGTACCTAGAGCCCATACTCTGCAACAAGAGAAGCCCGGCACCATAACTAGCCAGTAGCCCCTGCTCAGTGCAATTAGAGAAACCCTGCAGCAATAAAGAGCCAGTGCAGCTACCCCCCCCCCCACACACACACACACACAAATAATAATAATATACACTAGGCAGGAATTAGCAATAAAGAGACAAGTAAAGGAGACGGAAGTAAAGGGGGCGGAAGGTTAGGGACCACTGCAGGGTTCTTCAGGGAAGGCCTAACTAGAAGGTGACATTGTGAGCAGAGGCCTGATGAAAGTGAGGGAGGGGACAGTCATGAAAAGATTCTGGGCAAAAAACATCCCAGGCAGAAGGGACAGCAAGTGCAAAGGTCCTGAGGCAGGAGGGTGCCTGGTTTAATCCCAGACAGTGAAGAGGCTGATCTGACTAAAACAGAATGAAGGCACGGAATGTGGAAGGGGTGAGGTCAGGGAATCAGGGGGCTATGGATACATTAGGTGGGGTCCTGTAGGTTATTGTAAGGACCCAAGCATTTACAGAGATGGGGAGCCCCAGCGAGTGGGCTTCCAGCCATGTCTTGAATACCTCCAAATGATAAGAAACCTCAATGGTGAAGCAGTCTTAATTTGGGGTGGCCAGCAGGGCGGTGTGCAATGGACTTGTCCCTGGAGGGGCAATGAAGGTGGTGCCCAGAAGTCCCAGGCCATACAACCCCAGGGCTGGGGAAGGGTTGCTGCCCCTTGATGGAGAACCCCCTCCCCTGCCTGCCTCACCTTCTTGTCCAGCTTCCTGCCCGCCAAGCTCAGTGTGATGACCCGGTTATCTGACAGCTCCTGAGCAGCAATCTGCAAGGACAGAGGGAAGTTGGGGGTTGGGGTCTCCCTCCTCTGACCTCCTTTCAGGCAGGGTGGACACAGGATGCCCTAGCAGTCAATTCTCCGGGGTGGGGCGGGGTGGGGAGAGGAAAGGAAAAGTAGTACCAGGTGACTTGGGATAAGCCTCTTGTCTTCCTAAAACCTCAATTTCCATCTTCTGGAAAATGGGGCTAAATAACTCATCTGGATCTGAGAATCAGAAAGTGACCCCTAAGTGGCTCAAGAGAGGCATGAGATGGTGTGGGAAGACGAAGCAGGGATCAGACACAGGGGTCATCTAGAGCCCTGGGGAAAGGTTCTGGGTAGGGGAATGGTCTGCCAGGCCTCCTCATCCCCCCACTGCAGACCCAGAGTGCACATACGGCCACCTCGAAACACCCAAGGCATCGGAAATTCTAGCAACTTTGCTGTGCAGCCAGGGAAACTGAGGCCCAGGGCAAAGGTGGGACCACCTGAGCTCCCTCTGCTGTCTCATCAGCTCACACTAGTCATCAACCCTCCATGCCTTTCCCATCAGCCAATGCCTCCTGCCCCAGGCTGTCCAGGGATGTGCCAGCTGGGTGCCCTCGAGGCTACCATCTGCCCTCTCTGGGCATCTCCCTCTCTCTAGAGCTGGCAGGGAAGGCCCTCTGGCCAACAGGCACCCAAGTGGGTAGGCACCCAAGTCCTAGCTCTCTCGGCAAGGACCTCCTCTCCTCCCACACCTCTAGGATAGCCCTACCTGCTGAATGAGCCATTTGACTCAGAACCACAGAAAGAGGCCAGGCTGGAGGCCCCTCTCTCCTGCCTCCCCTCCAGCTGCGACCTTGCTCAACAACCCTATAGCGTAGGCCCTTTTATTACCCCTATTTCAAAAGAGGAGGGTACCCAGGTCTGGAGGGGAGCTGCTGGAAATGGTGGAGGAGGGCAAACCAGCTGGGTGGGGTCCTTCTGGGCTGGCTTCCGTGTGCAGGACAGCTGACCAGTGGAGGCACTTAAATGGGGAGGTTTTGAACCCCAAGAGGTGGGAGGAGGCTGGGAGGGGACATTCAAGGTGGCAGGAACAGTGGATAAGAGCCTGGAATAAGTGCTCCCCGGTGGCTCACGCGGTAAAGAATCTGCCTGCAGTCTAGGAAACCCGGGTTCGATCCCTGGGGGAGCGAAGATCCCCTGGAGAAACAAATGATTATCCAGGAATCCCATGGACAGAGGAGCCGAGCAGGCTTTACAGTTCATGGGGTTGCAAAGAGTCGGACATGACTGAGCCACTAACACTTTCACTTCGTGCTTAGAATTCAGTTTGCCTGAACTCAGGCCCATGGTCATGAATAGGGTAAAAGAAACAGCTGAGATCGCTGGGTCCCTCCCAGCCTGGAATGCACGGCTCCACAGGCAGTGGGGAGCTAGGAATGTTCCAGAGCAAGTGAGTGACGCCGCATGAGTAAAGACACACAGGTACAGCCCTCCTCCTCCCAACACGGCCAGTTTCGCTGGCGTCACAGGCTCTGAAGGGGAATAAGCCAGGAGAGCTGAACCGCCCCGGGGCACTTCTTCTCTGGGATCCAGCTCCCTCATCTGTAAAAGCAGACGCTGCCTTCCAGAGTCTGAGGACCAAAGAGCTCATCCGCTCAAAGGGCCTGCGCATCGCAAGAATCACTCTGTCACGTAGGGATCATTGCGCATCACCGAATCTTTGCGCATCAGAGGAATCATTGCGCATTGCAGCCACGAGCCAAGCTGCGAGGGACAAGGAGCTCCTGAAACCGCCTGAAAGACCACCCAAGGGAGGACAGCAGGAGCCAGGGCCGGGAGGGGATGCAGGGAGGGCTGTGGAGGCCTCCAGGGAGGAGTAGAAGCGCCCCGGCCCGGGGAGATGCCGTGGGGACCCCTGGCAGTCCCCCTTCACCACCCAGCTTGGCAGCCCTGACGCATCATATATGGAGGCAGGAGCCCGTTGCTAAGAGACCTGTTGCTAAGTTGTAAGTTGGGCCTTTTTACTCCAAACAAAGCTGGTTATTATCTGCCAGTGAAGCGGCCCATTGATGGGGGAGGGCAGTGGGCTGCGCGGGTGCGGGTGGGGAGGGTGGTGGCGGAGGGTGCCCATGGAGAGCGGGGACGCGGGCTGGTACCGTAATCAAGCCCTTCCCCGCAGGCTTGTCATTCATCAGCAGCAGAGGCCGAGTTATCTTCTTGCTGGAGACGATCTGGAGGGAGAGAGGAGGGAGGGGTGCTAGAAAAACACTCAACAGGCACTGCTTGCAGCACAACACTCCATGCCAGGAGCAGGTTAAAACCTCCCCCTGTGGGTTCCCCGCCGTGGGAGACAGACCGCCACCACTGCTAGCTCCACTGGGCAGCTGAGGCGACTAAGGCCCAGAGAGGCTGAGACACTTGTCCGAGGTCTCACAGCTGGGTTGGAATTCCAGCAGTCCGATTCCCGGGGACCTGCAAGCCCCCAGGAAAAGGCTCCTGGAAGGCTCACGTTCTGGAGGCTGCTGAAGGGAGACTGGCCAGTAACCGCCTCCCCCAGAGTTATCCAGAAGCCCCCTTCTCCCTCCGGGTGTGATCCTTGATGGAGAGGATCAAATCCTGACTCCTTCCATGTATTTTCAATGGTTTGAATAATGAAGACATTCACACAGGGTTCAAGGATCAGTACATACAGGGAGGACAAGGGAACACACTGTGAAGTCTCCCTCCCACCCGCCTCTTTACCCCCCATTCCCACTCTCTCCCTGTCCACCATGGTTCTCTGTTTCTCAGGGGAAATGCTCCTGTTTCTTTGTGCTGATGTGAGCATGTTCTTACTGTCCCTGTGCTAGCTTTTCTCCCCACCAGTTCCGCTCTCGGCCTTCTCTGTGCCACTGTGGACTACTTCACCTGGCCCCCCTGTCCTCCAGATTGAGGGGATTCACCCCTCCCTCCAGTGGGGGTCTAGCAAGAGGGGAGAAAAGGCTTAGCTGAAACTTTGCTGCTCATCAGCAGCGTCGGTTCCAGACCTGGGGCCTCCCCACGGAGGCCACAGCTCTCCCCTGGCCCCGGGCAATACCACTTCCTGCACTGCCCCTCCCTCCAGGCCAGGGGTGGCCGGCTGGTGTCAGGCCCGACGCAGGTTTCCCCGCCCCTTGTGGGTTTCTGCTCCGCCCACTGGCCTTTCGGCTCTCTCCTCCACCCACTACCCTCTGAAGGTGTAGACACACCGCGGGGACCTGAGGGACACACCTCACTTCTTAGGCAACTGCCGGGCCCTTGCTTTTTTCATTGAACATCATTTCCTGGAAGGCCCAGGGCGTTTCAGTCTCCACGAGAACCTCTTGGAGCCATTCCCATTTTATTCACCGACTCTCCCTACAGGCTGAGCAGAGCAGTCATCACAGTTCCCAAGTAAAACGGGAGGCTCAGAAGGCCGTGGGGCTTGCCCTAGAGCCCAGAACTGTTAATAGTGATCGGAACTTGTGTCAGGAAGTCTTAGACCTGCAACTTCCATGAGCACACCAGAGAGTGAGCCGGAGGGGGAAGTGTAGCCCAGAGAAGGAAAGAAAGTTGCCCAAGGTGAGCCAGCCGCGGAAGTGGGACGACCAAGGGTGTCTCCGTGGCTGGTCGAATGCTCCTACCCCAGGAAGTCAAGACTGCACCTGCTTGCTTCTCTCTCTCAGAAGCTCTGGCCACAGGGGCCCGCACCCCTCTTTGTCACTGCGCTCAGCATCTGGGGATGAGAGCGCTTCAGCCCGGCCCCAAGCCCTTTTGGGTTCTTTCCCCGTTTTGGTGCCTTCGGGCCTGCAAGACTGTCCGCATTTGTGTTGCCACCTCCGGAGGCAGGTGGGGAAAATGGGACCAGGGAATGCAGGCAGCAGGAGACTCCCCAGGAGGTGCTCCGTCCTTGGGAGCCAGGCGACTTGCACTGACCCCCTTCCTCCTCGGGGGTGGGGGTGGGGAGGCGGGCCCGGCTCACCGTGCCCAGGCTGCAGGAGAACTGGCCCAGGAAATCATGCTCCTCCAGCTGCGTGCTTGACTTGTCCTGGTCGAACAGGGCGAACTTGAGCTTCTGCACCTCCTCAAAGTGGTAGTCAAGCACGAACTTCTTGGAGAAAGCGGGGTTGAGGTTGTTGACTGCAGTCTCTGTCCTGTCGTACTGGCCAAGGAGCAGGGAACAGGAGTCAGAGTCGCGGAGCCAGTTCACCCCTTCTTTGTCATTGTTTAGTCACTAACTGGTGTCTTTCGTGATGCCACAGATTGTTGCCCGCCAGGCTCCTCTGTCCATGGGATTTCCCAGGCAAGAATACGGAGTGGGTTGCCATTTCCTTTGCCAGGGGAATCTTCCCAGCCCAGGGATCAAACCTGCATTAGCCGGTGGATTCTTTACCACTGAGCCACTAAGAAAGGCCTGTTAACCTCTTCCTGGGCTATAGGAACTCATGGTGTTTATTCACGGAACACCCACCTCTGTGCCAGACACTCAGGGCAGTTATCCGTGTGGCTGAAGCAATCATTACTCCCAGCTCACATAGTAGAACACTGAAGCAGAGAGGTTAAGTGACTTACCCAAGGTTGAACAGCTAGAGGGCATGGCCAGGATTTGAACCCAGTCCTGACTCCAGCCTTCACGCTTCTAACATACTGGCCCTGGCTCCATGCCCAGGTTCTAGGATGAGAGTTCAGACCCTGTCCCCGCCAAGGTTAAGTGACAGAGGGAGTCTCATTTCCCATGGGAACCTCAGTTTCCACTTCTGTAAAATGAAAGGATTTGAGTGTCTGTGGCTTTGCTTCCTTTTTATTTGTGGAGAACCCTTTCTTCAAACCGTTTTACATGAAGGAGGAGGGGTACTTAGGGGGAGGTGAGGTCGGGGTTCCCTGTCCCCCGTGGAGGCAGATGTTTGTACCTTCACAGAACCCTGGGATGTCAAAACTGGGAACTGAGCGGCCCCCACCCCCCATTTAGAGTGGAAACTGAGGCCTGGGGAAGGACAGGGCCGTACTCTGGGGGTCACTGGTGGGGCTGGGACAGGAACCCCGCCTCCTGACTTCTCTGCACTGAGGCCCCAAACCACAGAGTCTGGGTGACAGTCTATTTTGGGGCCTGGGCTGTGTTGATTTTTCCTCCCACCCATTCCATTTCCAAGGGCCAGAGAGCAGCAGGGATGGAAGAGGTCTTGGCCCCGGGCTATTTTTAGCCAGGGTGGCTGGCCTGGGTGGGAGAAAGATTATTGAGGAGGGTGGGGGGAGTGCTGTGAATGGAGGTGGGTGCCTGGGGGAGGAGGGGGTGGACATCACCCCTGAGGGGTGGGGCGGGGCAGGAGTTCCTGAAACCTGGCTGATAGGACTCCCAGCACTCCTCGGCTGACCCGATGTCCCACCTCCCACTTCTGGCTGCATCACCAATGTGCTGGGTGAGACAGGTCAGTCCCTCCCCTCTCTGGGCCCCATTTTCCCCTCTGCAAAATGGGTCAACAGGCCCAGCCCATTTCCTTGGCATCATAAGATGGAGCCAACATCTGTGGAAACTCTTTGTAAACTACTGTATGTTCTGGGGGACGCCCACCGAGGCCTCGTTAAATAACTATGAAAAGTAAGAGACATATATTGGAAAGTTTACATGCATGCAAAATTATCTGGAAGAATGGATACCAAACCATTTATAGCTGGTTCTCCCTGACAGGTAAGTTCCCAACCACTTTGATTTTCTGAATTGTCTCAGTTTACTACAATGCATATAGATCCCTTTTGGAATAGGAAACAAAGCCATTTTTAAACCTTGAAAGTCTTAATGGCTTGGATTTCTCAGTATCCTTCCTCAAGCTACATCTTTCCCCAGTCCGCAGGCCAAAGTCTTCTAGCTCAGAAATCCTTGGCTGTGGCACCATCAGCATCCTTAGCTCTGAGGCTCTCCAAGGTAGGCATAAAAAAAAAATCATTTCATAGATGAGGAGACAGGCTCAGAGAGGGATAGCCATTTGCTCAAAACCACACAGCAGGGAGTAACAGAGCTGGGTCTTGGCTCAGCTCTGGGACCAAAGCCTAACAGAGTTCCCTGTTTCTCTCTTTGCTCCTCACTGACTGTGCTCATTGAGAAATAAGTGGGGAAAGTTATTTTAAAAGTGGAAGCATTTTGCAAAACTCTCTTTTAACCATCTATTATAGTAACTTAAGGGCTTCCCTGGTGGCTCAGTGGTAAACAACCCACCTGACAATGCAGGAGACCTGGGTTCGATCCTGAGTTGGGAAGATCCCCTGGAGAAGGAAATGACAACCCATGCCAGTGTTCTTGCCTGGGAAATCCAATGGACCAAGGAGCCTGGCGGGCTACAGTCCACAGGGTCGCAAACAGTCGGACACAACTGAGCGACTGAACAACAACAATAGTGGCTTAAAATATTATAAACACTAAATATAAAATTCTGTAAACATAAATCTACAAATTATTCAGTTCAGTCGCTCAGTCGTGTCCGACTCTTTGCGACCTCCCGGACTGCAGCGCACCAGGCTTCCCTGTCCATCATCAATGAACATAGATATTTCAACTAATACTATAAACATTTCAGAATAACAATTTTCCAGGGAATCCCCAGCTCCCGCTCCAAGTACTTCCAAGGGCCTGACCCCAGGGAGGCAGGGTGAGCGCTCCCCAGCGACTGCGTCGCCCACCACCCTGGGCAGCCGCACACCACGGGAGCTCACCTCTATCCACCTGCCATCGGTCTCTGTGAAGAGGACACAGAAGGGGTCGGACTTGGAGGTGACATCCCGGTCCAGCAGGTTCTGGCCACTGACGGACAGCTCCACCTTGCACACGCAGTACTGGGAGCCCACGGGGGCCGCCCCCGAGGCCGGGGCACCCCCACCGGGTATGTAGGCCATGGGGGTTGGCAGCGGCAACGGCAGCAGCGCCTCACAGTCTAGGGGGACAACACTGAGGGTCAGAGAGGGAACAGACATCTGAAACAGCCCTCCACACCCTGGGGAGGCGTCACCACCTGGCCCTCAAGATGTGGAGCGAGAAGTGTGTGTGTGGTTGGGGAGGGGAGCAGGTTGGGGATGGGGGAAAGCCTGGAGAAAGAATGCACGAAATGCATGAAAAAGGAATCTCCGTAGGTGAGTGTTTAGGTTGTCCCTGAAGTTGCTCTCTGCTTTGGTCTGTCTTTACCCATGAGATACACACAGGTCCAAGTTGCTCCTGTCAGAGCAGTAACACATCACGATGGACACAGGCATCCCATTCATGTTGCCAGGAAGACCTGGGCTTCTCCTGAGCAACTGACATCTTGGCGCCTTGCAACACCAAGGCTCGCTCATTCACCCCAGAGTGTCTACCTAGTGTCTGCTGAGTCCCAAGAACTGTGCCAGGGCTGGGCCCGGCAGTTAAGAAGATGGCCCAGCTTCAGCCCTCTCTGAGCTCTTGTTCTAGCCTGGAGGGCAGCCAGGTCTTGTGGGCTGGAGACTCCCAGGGGGAGCCGGGGCTTTGTTCTGAGAGTGATGGAAGCCTTGGAGGGTTTTAAGCAGAGAGGTGACATGATCTGATTTGTGTTTTTAAAAGCTCGCTCCAGCCCCTGTGGGGAGAAGGGGTTGCTAGACAGAGGAGAGGCAGCAGGGAGGCCAGCGAGGAGGTGGCTGTCATCCAAGCAGAAGGATGGAGTCACAGTGGCAATGCTGGGCCCGCCCCCTCCCGCTGACCCGGGGCCCAGCCCAGTCCCTGAGCGCCAGCCTTTCGCTGGGCCCAGGTCTCAGGAGGCCTGGGCGAGTGTGGGGCTCCAGACACAGCACCCCAGGGCGTGCTTGGCAGGCAGAGGATCTGGGCAGAGACAAAGCCAGTGCTCAGCGCCCTCCCTCCCACCGTCTGTCCCTAGAACCTCATTATAATCACACGAGCCCAGAGCATCAGGACAGCACTGCAATTTGCCTGCAGGATTTATTCATGTCGTGTAAAAATTAGTTTCCATCGGAGGGGCTGGAGAGTCGCACTCCCCCTCACTGTGTGCAGCTGGGTGGCCGTGCCCCGTGGGGGAGGGGCGAGCAAATCCTCGACTCAGCAAGGAGAACGGGGAATAGTGATGTCCTGCATAGACATCGTGGACTTCCCTGGTGATCCAGTGGCTAAGACTCTGCGCTCCTAACGCAGGGGACCCGGATTCGATCCCTGGCCAGGGAACTAGATCCTGCATGCCCCAATTAAAGATCCTGTGTCCTGCAACTAAGACCCAGTACAGCTAAATAAGTTTTTTTTTTTTTTTTTTAAAAAAAGGGACATCTTGCCAGGGGGCTGAGAGAACACCTGTTTATGCTTACACCTACCCATGGAGGATGGGGAGGGGAAGCATGACAGCCACTCCCATTTTGCGGATAAGGAAACTGAGGCTCAGAAGCAGAAGTCACCTGTCAGGAACCAGAGGCAGGGCGTGAGCCAAGTCTCCAGACTCCCAGGCCAACATATGGCCTGGGCAGGGGGACTGCTGGGCATGGTGGGGATCTAGAACCTAGGTGGGGACTATCTGGGGTGTCAGCCAAGCCCAAGGGAGCCTGAGGCTAAGAGGGCCCCAGTGCACCCAAGGTCACTAGTTCCTCTGGGGTTACCCTGTCCACACCCCTGCCTCTCCCATCATCACTGATGGGATAGATTCCAGCCCACTCACTTCCTTTCCACCTCACAGGCCCCCTTCCTAACAGTTGAGATGTCACTTGGGCCACCATCTGCCCCACTGCCAAGTCAGAGACCTCTGTTTTCATTCTGGGGGTGTCAGGTACACACACCCAGGTTCACACACTTCCTGGTGCATGTACACACAGATACACACATATACCTAGGCCCCCAGACTAACAAATGTGAAGGCAAGCACTCAAATGATCACTCTGGGGCCACTTCTTCCCACTCTCCCCCGGATCTGAGCCACCATCACCACGCGGTTACTGCACTGTCCTCCTGCCCCTCACTGGCTCCAGCCTGGCTGAGGGTGTGGCCAGGAGGGCCAGGTCCCACGGGAGGGTCAGGCTGGGTGGGACTCCTCAAAGCCCACTGCCACCCCACCTGGATCAGCTCGCAGGCCCCGGAGAGCGGAGCGATGGGTGGGTGGGGAAGGGGCACTCCACCCCCAGTTAGGGGCAGGTCCCCCATCCCCAACTCACCCTCTGGCTGGAAGCTTCTAGATGCCCGAAACGGGGAGCACATGGTGTCTGCAGTGGGGGCAGGCGGGGGTCAGAGTGGATCCCTCTGTGCCAGCCGGCAGCGGGCAGGCGGGCCGGACCCTGAGGCCTGACGCAATGGAAAAAGAAACCACAGCCTAGGCTGGGCCAGGCCCCCTCCCCTCCTACTCCAGCAAGAGGGCCGCAGGCAAGGTGTCATTAAGGGAGGGCTGGGCCCGCCCTGCATCTGGGCAGGGCGGAAAGCTCCCTGATGCAGCGCCCGCGCGCCCGCAGGTAATTGGAGGCTTCGGGCTGGAGAGGGGGTCTGGGGAGCCAGGGCCCACTTGTGGATGGTCCTGACTCCTGGTCCAGATAGACATAAGCCTTCTGGGGTGACCAGGGCACCAGGGACGGGATCAGAAGACAGGGATACAGAAGGGATAGTATTTCTTTTTACAGAAAGCAGGGCAGAGAGTGGGCAGGGCTTGGGAATTCCCCTTCATTCATTCAGTCAACATTCCTTGAACACCTTGGGCTACAACAATGGATAAGACTCAGGCTTAAGCTCCCACAGGGTCCACTGGCCCTGAGCTTCTAAGGCATCTTACTCTTTAAGCAGAAAAAACAGAATCTGGGGACTGGGGCTGAGCCACAGGTCTAGAACATTCCAGTTTCAGCCAGAAACCTAGGAACACATCATCCTTGGCCTCTCTCTTTCCTTCACCCCCTATCCTACTACTGCGGTTGGTTCTACCTCCAAGATGTATCCAGAATCCTCCCCATCTCCCTCCTTCCACTCCCCTGGCCAATGACAGGTCTCCCTGAGCAACCCCAGACTCTCTTTTCCACACCAGAGCCAGAGGGAGTCTTGAAACATGCAATTTGGGGGCAGGGGTTTCCCTGGTGACTCAGTGGTAAAGAATCTGCCTGCCAATGCAGGAAACACATTTAGGCTGGATCCCTAATCCAGGAAGATCCCACATGCCACGGAGCAACTAAGCCCATGTGCCACAAGTACTGAGCCTGTAATCTAGAGCCCGGGAGCTGCAACTACTGAAGCCTGCTTGCCTAGAGCTCATGCTCCTCAACAAGAGAAGCCACTGCAATGAGAAGCCTGTGCACTGCAACTAGAGAGCAGGCCCCTCTCCCCCAGCACCCGCTCTGCTCTCTGAAACTAGAGAAAAGCCCGAGCAGGAACAAAGACCCAGGACAGTCAAAAATAAATAAATAAAAATTTAAAAAAACACACACAAAACACATGCAAATCAGATGCTACCACAGCTCTCCCTGAAAATCTCCCAGGGCCTGCATTTCCTGGTCACACAATCCAAATCCTCTCCCGACCCTCCCCCTCATGCCATGCTCACCCTCACTCCCTGTGCCCCAGCCACGCCGGTCTCCTCCCGCTCTGCAAACGTGCCAACCTCGCTCCTGCCTCAGGGCCTTTGCACTTGCTCTTCCCCCTGCCAGAGATGCCTTTCTTCACACGACAGATCTTAGTTGTCAGCTTAATGTCACCCCCTGCCCCAGAGCCTTCCCTGATCACCCAAGCAAATGTAATCTCAGCCCAGCACCATTTCCTTTGCAGAACAATGTGACGTACAAGCATTTTACTATTTGTCCATTTGCCTTGTGCGCTGCCTGTCCCTCTAGAGTGTACATGCCACAGGGAGGGATCACCACAGTTTTCCCAGCACCTAGAACAGCACTTACGCTGTGGGCAGGTGTGGGATAAACAGGTGCCAGATGAATGAGGGCGGGGAACCCCCACCCCCGCCCTGCCCCCAGCAGCCCCAGAGGAATCACAACCACTGCCCCACCACACACATCACTCAAGAGATCACAAAGCCCCCGGGACCCTCATCACTGCTCCAAAAGGCCAGCACTAGAGGGGTTCACAGTCCCACTTCACAGAGGTGGAAACTGAGGCTCAAGAAGGGGCAGTGGGGCCAGGGAAGGATGGTGCTGAGGCTGAGAGCTAGGGCTGCCCAACTCCATCTTTCTCCCCCGCTGCTGGCCCCAGTGGCTCAGGACCCAGAAGCTGGGTTATGCACCCCACCCACTGTGGGGAAGAGACGCCAAGGTGGCCTGCAGGGGCCCCAGTTTAGAGGTGGCCTGTGACGGGAGACACCAAGAGGGGCAGGCTCAAGGGGCAGGCACGGGGAGAGGGATGGCAGGGGATGGGGAGGCAGTGGTGGGGGGTGGAGACAGAGACCCAGAAGGGGAAGAGGGAGATGGGAGGTCGAGCTGCCCAGGGAGGCAGCAGCCTCCACTGCAGAGTCTCATCTGGTGGACACCAAGAGGCAAGTGCCACAGCAGCTGGCCTGTCAGAACTGGGGGGGCCTCGTGTGCCCTCTGAGCAAGCCTGCTCAAACTGATACCTGAAAAATGAAATCCTGTTTTCAGTGCCAACCACATGAAGTGAGGCTCTGTTGACTCTTGTTGTGGCAGTTACAAGGATAGGAGTGTGGTCCTCCGGACAGTACTGTGCCAAGGTTGACAGCACGGACTCTGGACTCAAAGACTGTCGGGGTTTGAATCCTTGGGGCTTTCATTTACCTGCTGTGTGTTCTCAGGCAAGTTACTTAACCTCTCTGGTCTTTGTTCCCCCTCTAAAAAAAGCAGGAACAGGGACTTCCCTGGTGGTCCAGAGGTTAAGAATCTGCCTACCGATGCAGGGGCCATGGGTTCCATCCCTGTTAAGATTCCACATGCCTCAGAGCAACTAAGTACCATGGGCCACA